CTGCTCTGGAATTAAGTGTCATAACTTCACAAGCAGTTTTACAGTTAAAGGCAAGGCCACTTCTGTCTAATATCACATGTCTAGTTAATGAACTCTTATTTATGAAAGAAATTTAATTATTTTTAACCAAATCTATGTTTTCAACTGGTATTTCAATTAAAATAAAACTTCAAGTTCTGGTCAACTGAAACTCCTGACCGTAGTTGCAATTTACTCATACAGCAATCTTTTATTTCTAACCAGACAACAAAAATCTAGCTGAGAATACCAAAGGCCAGAGCTCACACCATAACTGCTGAGGTGAGCCATGTGTGTAACATGATAACAGAGCAGCACATTTACTCCCCTGATTTCACATTGCAATTGATTATTGCAAGAAGTTACAAATTATATGTATAGAACATCTGAAACATGGGCATAACACAGGCCCTCTGCAAGTTCTGCTGGCACGCTGCTGCAATTTTAGGTCAGACATGACCATGAGAAGGCAGTACACCTCTACTTCAAAACTGCAATTCCCCAGTTCATCTGTGTGATTTTTAAACACCCACACCCTTCTATTTGATTTCTGAAATGTCAGAGTACCATCCATCTCCCCTTCCCTTCCCACCTCATTAGTAGGCAGGCCTTCCAAAATATCTACTCCCGGCCCTGTCAGCAAGTCCCTGTGTTACTTAAGTGTGCTGCTTTCCCTCTTCAGGGCTCATTTTTTGGTCCAGGAAATGGTAGTAAATAGGAATCACCCTTCTACCAGAGAATTGCTGCAAGTAAGGAGGCTAAACTACCAATCTGAAGCATGCGCATACTTAGCTGGAACATTACTCCACATTTGAAGTTTCCTCTGCTCCAAAACAGACACCGTTTTTCACGAGCAGCATTTCTCTGGAGTAACTCCGTGAATTTGGTGCCAGAGGCAGAGCCTCATCCACACGTTTTGCTGCCGCCGATCAAACAGGGCTGCGGAAATACAGAGCAGTGCAGCTGGGCAGCAGGACAGCCATAACGCAGGAGCCCGAGTCGCTCGGGTCTTCCAGTCCGTTAGCAAATCCCACATCACATTTGATGAACTCCCATCGATGTCGCAGGGAATTTGGGCGGTGGGATAGATAGTTGGCTCTCTTCCCAAAAAGCAACTTATTTTCCCCTGGTCTGAAGAAAAGTTGCCCGGGAGGAGAAAGTGGAAGGGAGGTCAGGAAGTCTAGAGAGCTACGTCAGTCCTGGCATCTAGTCAGGGCTGCACAACATTTGGGGAGCCCCACACGGGCAGTAAAACAGACAGGCAGATGATTGTGATGACTAACAGATGTAATGGCAGGAGCAGAAACATGGAACTCTTCACTTCAGTCATGTTGTGAACTTATGCCCCAGGGATCCATGTCACCACAGTGATTTAGAAACGGAGGTGCAGGGGACAGGACTGAGAAACTGCTGTTAAGCAGTAACAGGATGTAATCTTTCTTTGCTGTCTGTACCCTTTACTTGCAGAAGAAAATAAATTATTCACAAAATGACCTGCATCCAGTATCTTTGTGGACTTTGTGCTGATGCTGGCCTTAAGCTACCTGCAGGTTTCAGAGCACCCACAACAGCCTTGTGTACCCTTCAGTATGTAAGAACAACGCAGAACTGTGAACACTTCTGTCATCTCCAGGCACTATGCGATATTTAAGTCAGTAAAGTAGTAAAAAATGAAGATGACTTACTCTGTCCATCTACATTGTCACTATTTGCCCATGGGATTCAGACAAAGTGTTTTTCTAATACCGCCAAGTACGAAATACTACATCTGGCAACCAGGAGCACAGATGTTGTCAATACCAGATGGCAGAGGCTGCCTCGATAAGCAGCAGATGGACTTTAAAATCACCATGAATAACTGACTCAGGCCAAGCACTCGGCATGCCATAATGCCATGGTAAAAATGGCAGGCAGAGGTTGTGGACACAAATGTCAAGAGGTTGAAAAGCAATCTTAGCACTCTTTATCATCTGTGGTGTGTAGAGCACCAGGTTAGGAACTGGTGCTGGGTCGTGAGATGCACAGGAACCGCAAAGTTCCAGAAGAAAAGGTTTCCAGCTTCTGAATCCAATATCTACAACAAATGAGCTTCAAGTGCTCATTTTCCACAGTTCATCCAAGAGCTGAAGGGATTAGTGCATAACATGAGACAGTCAGGGACTTTTCAGCCTTGTTGCGGATGCAGCAATCCACAGGTCAAAGATGAAGTTCCAAGACCAATGTGGAAATTCAGTTTAATTTCTCAGTAACAACCACAATCAAGTATTAGAACAGGTTCTCCAAGTACAATTGCTGCTACTGAGCACCTTTATGGCAAGATTGAATAACTTGCCGAGAGGCACACTGAGATATAGCTTTCAGAATAAGCTATTCAGATAAGCAATAGAGAGGGTGTGCAAAAGGGAAATGTTGCCAGTAGATGGTCCATTCTGAAGCAAAAAGGGCATCCACAGAGGGACCAGCCGGTGGGTGTAATTCACATGCTACACATCCAACGTGCTCAGAAGACTTGCCTTGTTGCATGGGGACAGCGACTGAATCAGAGGTCTCTCTCTTAAACCACTCTTACAGGTGAGACAATTTTCCTTTTGCTTGAGGTGCAATCAGTATAATCCCTGGTTAGCACAAGCCTCACCATTTTCTGAAGCAGATTCTCTACGTGGACAGGTAGAATAAAGTTAACATCTGATTCAGGAGTATAAGAGCGCATGAACTGCCTGGCTGTGTCATGCACAATACTAAAACACAAACCCCACAAGAAACCACATAACACCAGAAGGGAAATTTTCCAGCTGTGACAGCAAGACCTCCTCTACAGCACAAATCATCACTTGCCTGCTGGGGACACACAGGGCCAGATTATTGCCCCAAAGCAGTTCAGGCCTCAGGGAGTTTCCTAAAGCATGCAGGCAGGCTAGCTACAGGGGTTTCTCAGTGACAAGAGGTTATTACTACAGATTAGTCTGGCCAGCTTCCTCGGCCTCTGTCTTGGCCAGACCTCTCCAAGAGTTGGCACTTCTCAGAAGGGTCAGGTGGCATGGGTTGTCCCCTGCTCTACTTATCAGTGACAAAGACTCAGCACAACATTTTGCAGGATCAGCCAGCCTAGGCAACTAGTTCTGGCTGAGAGTCAATGTGATAACACTGGGGTATGTATGTCAAGGAAAGCTATACTACATGTGAACGAGCAGTTTAGGATCTAGCAGCTGCTTTGCACACAGTTCTTGGCAAGACTCTCTTTTTCCAGCATGATGATTCAACTCTTTCCTACTAGGAAAATTACTAAGGTCTGGCAGGTTAACTACTCCCTTCGCCAGGCAATCTTGCCTATAGGATGTGGAAGTCATCTTTTTCTCAATGAGACAAAGCAGAGCAGATAGCAGCACTGCTACTGCGGCAAAATATGACCACTGTGTCTAACACCCCCACTCAAGTGATATGTTACACCCTTTGATATATCTCCCTTTTAAGTTGCTGGATAAATACAAACCCTGTATTATTGCTGAAAATAGCAACTTCATGTATAAGGTAGTGTCCTAAATATATAGTAAACAATACTCAAAATAAGCAGGCACGCAAAGAAAATTTTTCTCTCTCACAGGAACATCTATTCTGTCTCTGTAAGGGCACACTGGATATGGATTTCAAAAATATCAAATATTCCATTTTTATCACAGAAGGAAGGGGGGGCAGTAAGTGCATCTGCCAGAACAATGGCAACAAGTTGAAGAACCATTTGCCTAATGCCTCTCACTCCCCCATCACAAGACTGATCCATGCTGTGCAAGATGAGCTAAGGCTGGGTTCTGGCAGTACAACAGAACAGGACACTTATACTTGTATTTTCACTAACAGAACAATAGAGCAAGAACATCTTTATTCTTTAGTTCCTCTCAATTTTTACCATCACCCAAGTTCCTTCTGGAACTGAAAGAATAAATACTGCCACTTGCTTAAGCATAGCTATTTTGCTGTTTCAGTACCAGACCCTGCAAATCTAAGTTTGGTATTCTAGAAACTTAAGGATGTTACCCAAAATAATTCTGAAACTTTTATGATGAGATAAACTGAGGTAAGGGAGTTTCAGGTGACAAGCAGATGGTTTATGTTGCCCAGCCACGTTATCACTTCTCCATTTAAGTTCAGAGGGAAGCAATTACATCTTGAAAAGGGACTACACAAAATTCATGATTACTTCCACAGGATCACACTGCCTCTGGTAATCTCCACAGAAGTTTCAACTACAGGTGTTGTTACAAGGTCCTGAAGACTGGAATTTCTCCAGCATTATTTAACTGAGAGGCTAGAGCTTTTCAGAGATCTGGAGGGGATTAGAAGCAAACACACCTTTTACAGTTGATCTAGTCTTGATCTTGGAGTAGGAATAGCAGCGAATAAACTGCCAAATGCCCCTAGCTTTTATTTAGCTTTGAGGTGCTCAGCTCCCATTGACCATTAGTATGTTCAAGAATCAGGTCTTCAGACACACAGTGAAAGCACAAAGACTTTCAACCCCTAAATAACTTGAAGAGCAGTTGCTGACAGTTTCTCACCTGCTTGGCCAATGAAGTGAGGTGTGCAGGGCCCCTGACTTGGAGTAGCATATAAACTGGAGTGCATCACAGAACGGGCTGGAAGGCTCTAACTCAGCCACTATCTAGCAGGCCTAGGACTGTGCCTCGACAACGTGCTTTAAAGTCGAGACCAGAAAACGGTCAGAGAGGGCAAAACCAGAAACTGTCACTATAATGTAAGTGAAAGATGAACTGCCTCTCACTTAACTGACTAATCAGTAATTTGAGGCAGATCTATAGTCATGAGGAAAAAAAAAAAAAAATGTACCTTCAATAACATCTAAAATCAAGCATTCCTGTATATTCCATCAGTATTTCTCCACCACAGTGTATTTTTACACATTGGCCAGTAAGTTCCACAAATACTCTGTCAGCACTATTTAGATGCAAGAATTATTTGAGACAAGCAATGTTTAGCATAAGTTTATTCGCACAAAAAGACTCACTTCTTCCAGAGGTATGAGACAGATTTTCCAAGAGCTGACTTCTTTTAATAGTGAAAAATAATACAAGAGACAAACATAGCAAAAATGGCCTTCTAAATTTCAACAAGTGCAATTTTAATCAGAAAGACAAGCCCAATCCAGACACTTCAGTGAGTGGCCTTCTCTTCAATATGACTGAGAAAAAACGAGTGCTCCAACCATTCCCTCCAAAGCTTCTATAACTATAGCCCAGGATCCCACCTCATAGCTAGTTTAATTGAAATTAAAGAACATATATGAAATACACTTCACCACAATTAACAAACGGTTGAGTAAGACTTAGATGCAAAGGCTAGAAGTATTACTATCCATTTGGCTCTCCCAATGCCTAAATTAGACCAAGTTGCCAGTGACTATGGTCAACTTATTGCTTATCAGCGTGCCTAACAATTATGGCATCCTGACTGAAGGAATTGAGTGAGAGGGACAGTGAACAATACCATCACTACACCGACAACTTAGAATTGAAGCAATTTGTCCAAGTTCTCTCCTAAGAGGTCTTTTCCCAAACACTCATATAGTAATAAGCAGAGTTCACTACCAACATTAGTACTTACTGTAGTGATCAGAAACCCACAAAGCCTAGGCACAAAACATACCAAATGCTTAACCCCAGAACTCAATCCTGAAATACAGGTCTTCAAGTTTCAATAAAAAGCTTTAGGTATTTGAACTAGATTTAAATATTACCTACTGCTTTGTAGACAAGATTATGAATGTTAAAGGGTGAGGATCTTTTGAAAAATGGTTACTCAAAATCAAGCAGTAGTCTTCAACCTCCAGCTTAGTGATTGAACTAGCTGAAGACAAACACAGCAACAATTAAATATTGAGCTGAGGAAGCACGAAGCATGCTTTGCCTTACAACTTTTCCGAGTGACCATGGATCAGCATACAGATTTTATCAAAGTGACTAAAATCCAGTCTAATACTAGGTCTCCTTGGTAGCATCTTTATAAAATCAAAAAAAAAAAAAAAAAAATCTACCTTACAATGAAGAAGTCACACCAATAAACTGTAAGTCGAGGGGGACTTGGCAATAAATGTTGACAACAGATGCTTAACCTCAGGCTGGCTCAGCCCAGCAGAGCTTAAGCTACAGGAAGAAAACAGCTATTTTAAACCACACAGTCTAGTTTACTAGAAGCCTACTCCTGAGGAATTATGCACTGACATAAGACTTGCAGTCTAGTGTTACTGTAGCTTTGTTTTGATGGCACTGCTCAGAGGGAATGTGTTAGGGTAATAGTCTGAGGTATAGTAGTCTTTCTCTAACCTTTGCTTGACACACAAGTGAGTAAGAAAGGATAGAGCAGGTTTGCAGAGGCATCATTAAGTACCAAAGGGAGACAGAATCAAGCAGGTGGCCTATACGTGGCCTAGGGTCATCACTTAACTTTTACCCAGCGCTTATCTCATGTTACTCCTTGCTACGGGGGCCACCATAAACCTGAACTCAAACCAGCTAGCATACGCCAAATTAAGCCACTGCTACATGCAACATCAGGCTGCTAGGACAACTTGAAACAGACAGGGGTGGACTACTTGCAACACATTGATGAAAAGCTACTGAGTATTCCAGCTTTACCTTCCAAGTCAGGGCTGTCTTGAAAGCAACTATATCAACAGTTTCCCAGCAATCCCTTACACAGTCAAGCAAATGCAGTAGGTAGTGTGCAGCATCAGGGTACAGTTTAACTATTCAAGAGCTTAACATCCAGGCTACAAAGCATCAATATTTCTAATATGCAAGAGCAACTTGAGATCCAGGCAGGGAGTACAGCAATCCTGCAAAGCTTAAATCCAGGCAGTGAGCTGTTCAGAAAGCAGCCATTCAACATAAAGCTTTCTTAGAGACCTCAACAACAGGTTACATTAGCAAAAGCACGATATTTATGGCGGGAACCTTGAATTCTCCATAGCTCAGTAGGAATCCATTAAAGCCTTCTTGCACTTCCTTTTCCAGTAGATGCACCCAGCCTGACATTCAGCAGCCAAGGCATTCAAAGACTAGTAAAACACAAGTCTGTTTCAAGCTTGTGAGCACTCCTCCTGAGCATCTGACCACTTCTTCCACATGAGCTGATACACAGGAACAGCTTCTAAAGATCAGCCATGGGACCACACGAGACAGATACATGAGTCCAAGCTATTCCATATGCAAAGCAAACAGCGTCACTCTAGGCAATGGTTTACTTCAGCAATGGGTATAGCTTAGGTTGGCTTTAAAAACAGCTATTTGAGATGACAGTAATTACAAACTCCTAAGCAAAAGGCTTCCTTCTTTCTAGTGATAGTCCAGTAGTAAGCCTGCATTAAGTTTAACACACTTAACACTGGCATCATACTAGTTTTTAAAAAGCCTTCCAAACAGTCAGTCTTGGGTGAGAGATGCCTTGTTTGTAAGCTACATCAAGCCACAGTTAGTGAAAAAGCCTGGGTTTACTTTCAAGTTTAGCTACTTTGGCTAGCTACTCAGGAAGCCTTTAATGAAAAAAACCACAACAGAAGACACCGAATTATTTGCCTATTTGCTACTGAAGTTGTTTACAAGACTGTTCAAAAAATTAAGCTAAAGCATACTTGGCTACAGCCTGCTTTCAAGATGGTACCCCTCCCTGCCTTCCTAAGCTAAATGAAAAAAGTCAGAACAAAAAAGTACCCCAACGGCTTTATTGAGGCACTCTTTATGAAGTAGTTACGAAAAATGAGAGAACTCGCAATGTAACTAGAAGTTTTTGGTCCTGTGAGAAACAGCAGTAAAAAACTACCTGTTCAAGTGCTGCACTGCTACTGTTCTCTACCTTGAACAGCAACCACACATTGGTGTTTCACCTGCTTTCTGCTTTACCTTCTAAGGTTAAATCATTTGTTTGATCAAGGCACTTCGGTCTCACAAGCTTGCAGAGACAACTAGAAGTCATTTAAAAAGGTTTAGCAGACAAGTATTCTTAAACATTGCACAAGCACATATTAAGCAGCTCTAAGAGTTGCCTTTCTAGTCTACTTCTCTGGTTAAACAAACACAAGATCATTTGCTATATGTACTTTACTATTGCAGTTCAGTGAAAATCATCCAGTTAATATACCAATTTCTAATACAGCTATATACATAACCAGGGAATTTTTAACCTTCCTTATAAAACACAGGAGTTTCAAAGCAGCAAGTTCAGCACATACCCTTTATGAAGGTCAGCACCCTACACCTCCGAGGGAGTACATACTCTTCCAGAGGCTATTCTGAAAATAGGGGCAGACTTTCACCACATACAGCCTCCGTGGAGAGCTCTGCTTAGGGTTTATATACCTCTTCAAGTGCAGGTTAAGACTAGTACAGAGGAAGAATTTTACTCTAACCGCTCAAAATACCATCTTGTACAGTGACCCGGTGATAGCGATAAACCAGTAAGCTCAACTCTTAAGTGGTGACAGAAAGACAAGCCTTCAGGACCTGCCTGAAGTTGTACAAGAAGAAATTAATTTTAGGAGGCACGTAGGAATTTATACTGTGACAGGAACGCACATCATCCTGCAACTCAAAGTGGTTTGGGGATTTTTTTTTTTTTGGCTTTTGGAGTTTGTTTGCGGTTTTGGGGGGGGGGGGGGAAGGTATTGATTTTTTTTTTTTTTTTTTTTTTTTTTGATTGCTGTAGACCTGAGGAAGAAAGTTGGGCCAAACCTCGGTGTAAGAGCTGTGCTACTTTCCAACTGTGTCAAAAATGGTTTTGAAAGATGCAGGCAGAAAGGCTTTATCTTGAGCCTGGACTTGACAGTATTTTCCCATCCTAGCTTTTCAAACTGTGGTTCTAATTCCATTTAAGACTTCAATTCCTCATTCCAAGGACTTTCCACATTAGGAAGTTTTAGATCGTGCTTTGGTGCACATTTAGAGATGCCACCTTCCAAATTTTTGTACTCAAGAAAAATTTAGCCAGCTTATGCTGTAGAGATGGACTAACTAATCCACCTTCAACTTCCAATAAATTAATCTTGAATTTGAGGCAGGACCATAGATCCCTAGGTACTACAGGAAACAACATTTAGGCCCTCTACAAGACCAAGAGTATCCATATAGTTACCAGTTCTACACAGTCAGAAAGCAGAAACAGCCCAAGTTTGACACAAGCCCACTCTTGCACAACTAATTCAATAGAAAATTGTCCAGAACTTGAACTGAGGAAGTGTAGAGTTATGAGGTTAGGCAATAAAGCAGAATTTTGCTGCTATTCCAGGAGTGGCTTCTGCTCTGCTGAAGACATTTTACAGTCTTTCCTCTATTAACTAACCTAGATTACTGAATACTCCACTTAGATCCCATGTTAATAGCCACTTCTGGAGCTAGTACTGTTTTGTAACTATTCCTCTTAACATTCAGCTGCTGCTTCTCTTCTCCTAATGGAGAGGTAATAAGGCTTCTTGGTATTTGGATAAATATGTTGAAAGGTTCATAGCAGGTCACCTGGTTGCATATTCCTACTGCACACCAGGAAACAGACAGTCCAATGCAGTCATGTTTCCATCAGAAAACCTCCAACTAACAGCTATTACTTGCCTATATATATACTCAGCATCTTGGCTTTCAGTAGCCTCCACTCAAGAATACTCAGGTGAAACAATCAATTGCAAGGCAACCAAGTGGGGTAGGACTGGCTGTACGGCACAGGAGCGTTTGCAAGATAGTAGTTGCTGAAGTTGACATCACTAACGTAAGGTGCTGGCTGATAGTAACAGGTAACATTAGTGGCATTAGGGATGATGTTCTGTTCTGCCAGTACTCTGAGTGCAAGCAGAGAAATCAAGTTGAGAGTCTGCCTTCGCTCATGTCCCATGAGACAGACTGTGCTCTCATTCACCACCCTGCGCAGAATCATGAGGTAGTCATATTTCCTCCTTTCTTCTTTGGAGAAGTGGTTCTGGAGGTAGGTCTCTAGTTTGCGCTGCTGATCCAGGATGTCTGGGAAGTCTATGAAGAAGCGGGAGCACATGTAGCGCTCTAATGTTTTGATCTCATCCTTATCCATGGGCCTGAAGTCTCGTACTAAGAGATTACTATACTTCAGAAGCCCACCACCTCGGATCTCTTCAGGATTTTTGGTAGCTATCAGCTTGTTCTGGAGGTGATCAAAAGCTGCTTCAAAGTCTCCATACATGCTCTCCCCGATCACAGTGGGATGGAAGTGCTCTGACATGGGGGTTTCTGAGTAGTCATAGTAAAAGAGCAGGGAGTCCAGTATGATTTGGAAGGAGTCCACACTGAACTCAAACTGTCGCCTTATACAGTCTACAAACTTCAGCTCCACATTCCTGCCATGCTTGTTGGAAAGCGATATCAAGCTCCAGCGGTCAGATTCTGTGTACACTTTGACTAGCTTCTGGATGTAGGCTTCCTTCAATGTTACTGGACTGATTTTTAGCTTGCTTACTCCTTCTGGCAAGAAATTCAAGAGGGATCGCAACACCACATCTCGAACTAACTGAAACTCTGCCTCACTTGGAAGAGAAACTTGAAAAATGAGATCCAGGTCTTTGCATCCCAGCCCATTATCCTTGACCAGAACATGACCAGCTGCAGAGCCATTCAGACGGACATCATGTACCACAATGCCTGCTTCGCTCAGCCTACTCCGAACTGTATGAACAATGTCCTTCAGAGTTATCTTCAGCGTTGGAAAGTTACCTCGTCCATGGATTGGAACCACCTCTGTAAGAACCTCATGCAGACGGCTGACCTGCTCCCAGTTCAGTACACTGCATGACATGCAGTCTGTGTTAATTCCTTTGCCTGCCATCTTAAGGTTTTTCTTCTCCAAAGAAACTGTAGGGAGGTGGAATAAAAAAAGAAAGAGTCAGACTGTTTATGTTTCCTAGATATATCCTATGCTCTACTTTTCTGCCTACACACACAGACAAACTAGAAAGAGATAATTCTATGTAAAAATTATTTTTCGGGAAGCTTTTCACCTGAAACACAGCTTCTCTATTAGTGCAGGCACAAAATTTTATCTGTCCTTGCCCTTTTTGTGGTGAGGTAGAATTAAGTACTTCAGCAAAGCAGTTTGTGTCAAAGGGAAATTATCAACAAAGATGGCACATAAGCTTTACCTAAACTTAATATCATCTGCAGCACCAGCTGATGCCAGAGGAGACATAAGTGCAAAGCACTTCTGAAAGTTAAGCTCTGAACTTGTTTCATTATACATAAAGCTCAAACATCTCTCTCCAGCTAACACAACAGTGGAAGACATTCAGGTGTTAGTTTCAGAACTTTGAGATCCAATCCACTGAAAGTACTTTAATTATACCACAGACATAAGACTTATTCCATTACATAAGTTTTGAAGTTCTTAGCCATCCAGCATCTACCGCCCATGGGATAAGGACCAAGTACACCTTGCTCCTGCAAAAGGCTAAAGCACTTCAGCACCCTTGACAGAATTTCAGCTACAAAGTCAGACAACACAACTATTCAATTTGCACTCCAGTCTTCATATGCAACTATTTACTCTTCTTCAGGCACACTGCATAATCAAACTACCTTTCTGGAAATATTCATGCTTGCCCCAACCTTTTGGTCATTTGTGGAGGGCAAACAAGCTTTTAAGAGATGGCATACACTCAAATGAGGTTAAAGCACATATCATGTTTGTGCTGCGCTTTAATACCATTTACTTAAGAACCTTAAAACCAGGCATGGGTCACAGCCTCATCTGAACTTTTGCACTTCTTAAGGAGTCTCGTCACAGCTGACCAGATGATTCTCTTGTGCTTAAGTGGCTTGTGTTTTGAAGTATGCAGATACTTACATATGTTCTACAGTCATGCAACTCCAACTGGTATTAATACACTTTTCTCTTTTTAAGTGTTCCAGGTTTCTATTGTGGCCAGGTGCTTCCTGACAGCTACAGACAGATTCAGGCCTCACCTTCTTCTGCCCCAAGTACATGTGAAGACTGCAGCTGCCAAGGTCAGACTTCAGGTTGTTAACTCTTGTCTACCAGAGACTGTTTAAAACCCAAACATATCATTTCCTAACATGCATGAACACAGCCCATGAAAGACCTTTTAAGCAAGATTCAAAGAGCAGCTATTGTCATTTCATGCCTGTCTTCCTCCAGATTTTAATTTTTGAGCAGTTCATTTGACCTAACGCTTCCTCTGTAGAAGAGAGTCAAATCCTTGATAAAATATACAGCAAGGTAAAAATGCTCCCAGGGAAGCAGTTTCTACCCTTGAGCATGAGCTGCTACATTACAAGCTCTGCTGCTGTGGGTCACATCAGCTCCAGCAGACACAAAACAAGCCTGGGATTCACAAAATTATTAGTCCAGGACAAATCAAGGGGTTCTTCACACTCAGTCATTAAGGTTGCAATGCAGCATAAACCCAGAGGCATCAAGCCTGCCAGCAGTTGCCCTAAGGCACTTCAAACACATTAAAGTACATTTTCATCTTAGAACCACTGTGCTTTCATTAAATCCTTCAGATCACTAAAGAACATAAGAGCCTCCTATGACTTCTTGCTTAAGCTGCAAGTGTTTTCAGCTACTACCTCTGAAAGCGTTCCCTCTCCTCCTTCCTGTCTGTAGCTTTCTCGGCAGCCAAGACAGCATGGACAGCCCACCCAGCAACCAGAAGGGACTGTGAACAGTGCTCCCCATCCCACCGCACACACCCGGTTCTGCTTGGTGATCCTCACCTAGGAGAGCAACATGTATTGCTGCCCTTGTGGGGGGTGAAAAGGATGTATTTCGTTTCCAATTCAGTGCAGAGTTTAATTCTCAGGCCGTCAGCCTATGGCAGCTCCCACCCCCAAATCACTCACGTTTGCCTACTTTGCAAGATTTATGTTAGCGACGACACGCTCCTGGTGACTTTAATGTATTTGGGACACCAGCAGTTCGCATGCCTCTTGTTTCACCACCACCACCGTTTTCCATCACAAGAAGATCCGACACAACTCTGAAGCCGAGATAGGTACTTCCTATCTTTTGTACCAAGGGTAGAGAGCACTGTAACTTCACTTGGATGCAAACGTCAAATCAGAGGCAGCGAGAGTGAGGACAACAGACCTTCACCTTTGTCATGCTGAAGTACGTTACTCTGCAGCAGCTGTAGGTTTTCCCCTGTAAGACAGGCAGCTTGCCACAACACCTAAAAAACTTTAGGCGGCCGTACCTACAGCAAGCAGCACCCCTGCGACCCTACAGCGCTACAAGTCCCCTCCAAACCGCAGCGGCACCGCGCGGGGGGGGGAGGCTGAGCTTCCTTCGCAAGACGCTTTCTCCGGAGCGGAGAGCTGAGCGGGCTCTGCGACACCCTGAGGGGCGACTCAGCCCCGCGCGCGCGGCAACGGGGCCGTTGAGCCGCTCCAAGGGAGAGCTACCAAGCGCTGCCCGCGAGGGGACGCCGCCTCCTCAGTGACCCCGGCCCGCCGCCCGGCTCTGCCCCGGAGCGGAGCCGAGCCCCGAGCCGCCTCCCCCCGGCCCGGCCCCGCCGCTCACCGGTCAGCTCAGCCGCGCCGCGCTCCCCGAGCGACCGCGCCAGCCTCACGCCCGCACCGTCCCCCCCCTTCCACCCACCCTCGCCCGCCCTTTATGGCCGCGGCCCCGCCCCGCCCCGCCCCGCCGTGAGGTAACCGGCGGGCGGGGCGCGAGGCGGCCGCCCCAGTAACGGCCGCCGCCGTGGGGCTCCCACCCCCGCCGCGGGGGAGCCGGGGGCGGGTTTGGCCGCCGTTCGGGCAGCCGGGCGCTCGGCCCGGGAGCCCGGCGGGGATCGGCGTGGGGAAAGGGCGGGGGAGGCCGCCCGTGGCATGGAGGGGCCCCCCACAGGTAGCGGCGGCGGGGGGGAGGGGGAGCGGTCGCCTTCCGTCCCGTGTTCCCCCCCCCCCCCCCCCCCCCCCCCAAATGTACCAAGGGAATAACAGAAGATAAGGAAGTGAACTACAACGAAAAGCAGACTGCAATACATGGTTTTCCCTAGGTACCTTGTCCCGGACGGCTGTCAGCACAGATCCAAAATTTCCAGGCTCTGCTGCAGAGTTTACTAACGGTGCCACATCGGAAACAGCCGAACTAGGAGTTAACACCAAACCTGCAAGGACACGGCAAAAGCGTTGAAACAGCGTGTTACTGAAAAGCACAGCTGCCGGGCTGTGGGAGGCACTGGAGACGTTACACAGGAAGCAATGAATGACTTGGAGATACAGAGTAATAAAAATCGGCTGGCGTTTTATAGGACACAGCGCAAGATCATGCACTGTGGAGAGAAAAGCTACAATTTCTGCTCTAAACCCTCGGTGTTTCAGCAAAAGAGGACAGAAAGGACCTGGGGTATTTGCCTTTTGTAGGATAATCAGGGCTCGGTAGAGGGGGAAAAAAAGCAAAAGTTATCTTAGGACAGGCCAGTCGACATCTTTCTGGTAGAGCTAAAAAAGTATTTACAATGCATTGGGGAAAAAGCCCAACACATCTGTTACACTGTTTGGTCATACAGTCAAGAAAGATAAACTGTAACTCGCACACACAGAGAGAAGGGCTGACCTTGTAAGAGGAAACTGAAGAGTTCCTCTTTGCCCAGCAAACACATAGTTTCACCAACAGAGCCAAAGCTGAGTAGGAATATGGGGTGGGTTGGTTTATTTATTTATTTTTCTCCAATAGCTCACCATTGGGGTAAATAAAAGCAAACAGAGCTATTTAAATTAAAGGATAACATTGACACAAGGATCAGATTCAAGGCAAATTAACATCTTTTTGTCCAATGAGATAATAATTAATTCAGAGCACCACAGGAGGGAGGGGAATAAAACTAACTCATTTCAAGATGGAGCTAGAAAAGAAAATATTTAATATGATTGTCTGTGGTGGTATGGAGTTGGACATGAAGATCCAGATTTTTCTAAACATTTTTTTCCTGTGTTTCTAAGACAAGAAAGCAAAATAGAGAACTCAAAAAGAAGTAGTAGCAGAAATGATGGAGGCATAACCACCAGTAAGGAAATGTCTCACTTGGAGGTTAAAATAATGAATGGTCTTACCTCTTAAGAATATTTATTCAGCGGTATTTCTCCCTCAGATATCATTGTCTTATGACAGTAACTGATTATTTTGGACAGGATATTTTCTGTTGCCCTGTGAGTAAACATCAATTAAAGTATATTCTGAAAAATATTTTCTATTTGTAATATTCACTAGATACCAATAAAGGCAAAGATAAACTACAGCACATATATTACAGATGTTAAAGTATCAATAAAAGGTTCACACTTTACATTATTTGTTTGCAAGTTCTTGTTTCACAAAAATGTTTGGCAAAACAAAGAGGTATCTCAACTCTATCTTAAAGGATACCTGGGGTGTCTTCTGCCTCCTCTGATTTGCAGACCTTGAGTATTTGTCAGTGGGAGTGCAGCACTCTCTGCAGTGAATTTAGACCTCCTGACAATTACACTTGTTCTTTTTAATCACTTTTCATTGGTCCCACAGAAGGGGTTCATGGGATGAGATTTTGAAATGCCATTTAAAGCCTGCTGGACCTGGGTAAATGTCAGGAATAATGAGGAATGACTCTTCGAGTAATAAACATCTAGGAGAGCCAGCCCTCTGCTATCCATCCTCCTGTGACTGTGAGGATGGAAAACATGGAAGCACATAGCCCACCAGCGGGACAAGAGGTTAAGAAGAATAAGTTCCTGCTTGGATGCTGAGGGGGCTCTGAGGCGGGCCCAGACCCAGCTCCAGGGTACAGTCTTAATGTTTAATGTTTAGGAGTGACTTTCCCGCTGTCAGCTGCAACTCTGGGCCAAGGGAGAAGTAACGGATGACCCCAATCTTTGCGAGCCATCCTTTCCCTGAGAGCGACTGGGGTACAGACAAATTCCTGCTGAGAGGCAGCAAGCGGCGGCAGTCACGGTCCCCCTCTGCCCTTGGACAACCACCATGTTGCCCTTCTCCCACAGCCGCTCCATCCCTCATCTCTGCTCGCATCCCCCGCGCCTCCTCCCAGCTACAGTCCCTCCTCGTCTGCCCTGTGGTGTGCCCCCCGTCAGGACACACACCGCAGGACCTGTTTCAAAGGGTTTGCAAAGAGAGGATGGGGAAGGCAGAAGGACCAAATGGTTCCTGGGATGGCAGTGTGACACGGGGCAAAGGGGTCTAGGAGCTGCCAAAACAGCGGCAAGTACAGAGCTTTATGAACACGGTGCAATTTTGTTCATTTTAATCCAGTAAATAGGGCAGCAAATTTGGCAGAAGAAACGCACTTAAAAACTTGTAAGTCAGCTCAGTGACCTGGCACTGTCAGGTTAGCTTCCTTACGTGATGCATTGCTGAACATAATGTGTCATTATAAATCTTGGTTGCTACAGCTGTTAAAGCCATAAGGGGAAGCAGAGTTATTAATACACGGTAGTAGTAGCTGTCATGCTCCATTCTATAATTGAGCATCAAATCTGCAGTTGGGAAACTCTTCTTTTTTGCCTGACGTGTGGAATAACTGCATGTCTGCAGATGCTGAGAGCGTGGAGGGAGGTAGGGACATCCCACCCACAGCAGGGCTATGGTGAAATTCTCCTGCAGAGTACCAAGAGTGAGCCCCTTTCTCTGTTGCTGGCTGCCTTTACAAGCCTTTGAGGTTTCCTGTGGGGAGATGCAGCAACCCTTCCTCCCGATACATGGATACAAGTAGACACGTGAAGTCCAGTATAGACGTGCAGAGTGTACTAACGCAGAGAACAGCAGTCTTTCAAAAATCGGAGGTTAAATTTGCCGCTAGAAACACAGCAACAGCTGTGAAGCTCCTGCCCCAAAGGATGAGACACCACCCTGTAGGGCTTCCCAGCTCCCACTGAGTTCGGAGTTCAGCAAAAGCCAAGAGACACTCCTTTCCAAGAGTCAAGAAATGCCACCAGGCCCCTTCACCAGCCCGACCCCTGCGAAGTGGGAGCTCCTAGCTCCTGCCACATTTAGATGTGAGGAGGACACAGAAACCCAGAGTTTGTGTCTCTCACTAGTGTCTTTTTGAAGATGTCCCCACCCGTTAGCCCTTCCACTGCTTTGCTGTGTGCCACACCTGGCAACTCAGGCTGCGGGCTACAGGCTCTTCTTCTCACAAACCCTCTGATGTACACCCCCAAAACTACTTAAAAGCCTGAAGGAACGGAGTCACTCAAAAGTGTGACAAAGTACGCGGGCCAAATTCTTCCAGTGGGGAAGAGGCAGTTATGCCTCTGCTTGGGCCCCCAGCACTTTTGCTTTGGCAGCAGGAGCCTCGGCTTTGCTGATCCGGTTGTGCTGTGAGGCTCTGGAGCAGGCAGCCCAGGGAAGCCCAGCATTTTCTTTTCCCTTACGAAGTAGCAGGGCAGACACATGCTGAGATGGAATGCACTCGCTGGAGTGAGTGGGCAGCAGCCCATCATCTGACTTGTTTTTTTCCTTGCACCTGAGCTTGCCCCAACTGCTTAATTAGTCACATGGTTTCTTGGAACCTGGGGGAAGAACAAACTGTCAAAAATTTTGGTGGTACAGAAGAAGACAAAGGCTGAAGGGGGAAGCAGAGGTGGGGGGAGAACAGGCGTTTGCAAATCAGATGGAAAAAAATATTTACCCTAATTTGGGAGTCGTGAGCTAACTCAGGACACATCACCTCAGGCTGCAGGTGGCAAACACAGCAAAGGCAAATACTATAAAACTGTGCAGTTATTTAGGGTGTGCAGCCTCAGCTGTGCGAAGGTCTTCAGTGCTGAGACGCCCGTGGGCTCTGCCCCACTGATTTTGTACTTCCCCCCCCCCCCCCCAACAGGTCCTCACTTTGAAATCACATCTTTTTCACATTCCCTCATCATCCATGACTCTAGGAACCAGTGCGGAGGAGTGTAGCGGTCATGCCGTGACTGGACCAACCCCCTGGGAGTCTGCATCTGTGAGCTCTGCCTCTCGCCTCTGCCACTGGTTTTAGTTGCAGAAAGTACTGTTTAGCCCTGCAAATTCACAGATTTGAAGGCTAACAGGGATGATTAACCAACTTTTAGTACTCATATAATCCCTGGATAATATAATCCTTCCGTAAAACTCATAGCCCCTTCACTAACCTGAGTTTGCCTGCAGACTTTAGTCAGATTGTTCAAGAGATGAATAATCTAGTGTTTCCCCATGGTAGTTTGCTGCAGCTGTTATCTGCTTTCACAAGTAAAGGTCCATGCAAGTTTGTTCTGGTTTTAATTTCTACCTGTCTTTCTCTTCAGCATCGTTTGTTTTTTTGTTGTTTTTTTTTTGTTTGTTTGTTTGTTTGTTTGTTTGTTTTTTGTTTGTTTGTTTTTTGTTTGTTTGTTTGTTTGTTGTCGTTGTTGTTGTTGTTTTTTCCCCTGCTAGATTACAGGGGCTGTTGCTGAAACTGTGTATGAATTCTTTAAGGCTTTTTCAGTAGCACCTTTATGTCTAGCTGGTGGCAATGGCAACTGGAAAGGAGGTTTTGCACAGGTAATGAAGTTCAATAGCTTAAAACAATCTAAACAAGGGCTGTTAGAGACTCCCCATCCTCAGACACGCAGTCACACTCTTTCCTTTGGGTCAGGTTTATGCAATTTGAAACTAATCCATCCAAAGAGGGGATTTGCCTTTGGCTGGAGCTGCTCGCTAGCTGGGCCAGCGTGCGATCAGACAGGCACTCGGGCAAGCACAGGAGATGAGGCAGGATGACAGCAAACATTAAGCTGTGGTGGACTGGGACTCTCAGAAGACTTGGAGCCCATCTCAACTACAAAGAGCCACCTCCATCTGCTCAATGGGTCACCAGCATCACATGGAAGCTCTACAGCTCTGGAAGCCACTGTGCCACTGTCCATCTCCCAGTGAGGCTGACAGCTGGTGCATGTTCCCTGCTGGCACTGGTGAATGAGTCCTTGATGAGCACACAGGTAGCATCCCCAGCAGAATTTCTGTGGTAGCCCATCCTTTCTGCAGTGTGACAGCTGCTCCCTGGTACCCCAGTTCCACCTCCCTCTCCTGCGGGAAGCGGGTAACAATCTCCCTTCCCACCAGGTTTCAGTCTCACCCTATCAAGTCTGAGGCAACTGTCAGTCTTAACCTCCTCTGTTGCCAGCCAGCATCCTGCAAGGATCCAAGAGGCCCTTGCAGATGATTTTTGCAACAGTTTTGCCTACAGCTGCCTCATACAGAGCTGTGCTACATCAGTCCTCCCAGTGACAGATAATCAGGGCATTCAGACTCTCTTATCTCATACAGGGGAGGTAGGGTAAGGTTACGCATCACACATGAGGAGATAGCTTTACCATAGCTCTGTCTAATGAAATCTGACATTTTACCATAGGCAAAGTCTGGCCTATGCTGGGGAAAACTTGCAGCTACATGGTAGAGATCTTTTTGGACAAAAAGGCTTGAGGAGCAAGTGAAGTGTTAGGGGATATGGAGACAAGAAGGAAAAGCTAAGTCTGGTGATGTGTTGAGCGGTAATGTTTTGCACAGACACCCTGCTGAGAGCTAAGGGAGAGTATTCTTGTCTGTGGGAGGAAAAGTGAGTGCTCTGTCTCCTTCTGCCATAAAACAAACCTTATGATGGGCAGAAAAAACGTGGCTGCACCAAGATTTCTGCATTGCTCCATAGTCTTCAAAGGCATCACGCGGACAACACTGGAATCAAGGAAGACTACCAGAAGATATGATGTTTCTTGTCTACGCTGCATTGGATTTCAGTGCTGAATGCAAGTCATAGTTCAGTTAATGGTAAGAGATCAGAATAAAAATCTGGATTTAGTTACAATTTCTGTTTTGCAGTTCAAAATCTACTTGTTGCACGAGAGCTACTATAAAACAGAGGAGGCAGTTTTCAAGCTGGGCCAGATATTTGATTTTCAGTGGCAAGAGCCTATTCAGATGTTTCAAACGAGACCAGTAAGGAATTATTTGGTCTGGCTTCCAGTTTAGGTTGCAATGGGAAGTGTAACCTGTTCACAGTGTGCATAACAAAAGATTCACAGCAATGCAAAACCTATGACATTAAAAAGGTTCTTGCAGTTTGAGTCCTGAGTAAGAAGCCTCCATCTAGAAAGAGTTAAGGCTAACTGCTGTCAGCTTTCTTCTGCGTGCCAACTGTGCTCCCACTTTGGTGCATGTGGCCATGCAACAGACCTTAGCAGCAAGCTGATGAATTTCCCAACAGACTTCACGTGTACTTGATTTCCTCAAGTCTGAGAGAAAATCCTGCTCACGGCGACCATCCTACAAAGCAGCCAGGGACTGCACAGTAAGTGAAGGCTCCTCACACTCCTGCTGTTCGGTTGCTAATCTCCAAAACAGGGATTCACAACCACAAATCCGGATGCTGGTGTGGCTTCCCAGGTAACTGCTCCTCCAGGCCTCCTTTCCCCACCACGCTTGCCTCAGGACTGCCCTGAGGAGTAACGATAGTAGAAATCGGAAGTTCAGACTGGGTTGGATTTTCCAATGGTGCTCATCTATCTGTATCTACCCTGTCCCCCACTGGAGGTTGCACTGAAGCAAACTCCAGGCACCCATCTGGGAAGAGCAGCCCACTGACTCCACACAAAAGAAACCAGTTACTACAAGACCACTCAAAGTGTCAGAAAGCTGTTTCTACCTTATGTCAGAAGTAAAAAAAAATAGTCGTCAATGCAAACCACACAGTGGCAAATGGGGACCTCAAAAACATAAGATTAATTTTAAAATAATGGGACTTTAATAACAACACATGGGGAGGTCCTTTAACAACAAGTATTTGCTTTTTGAGTGTTTGTGAGGAGACAGGGAGGTGGGAGACCCCTTGATCTTATAAAGGACAAGGCAAGACAGACACTTGTGGATGTGGGGGAGGCGAGAATTGTGCTGGTACTCACAGATGTGTGAGTATTATTATAGGAATTATTACTGTGAGAAACAAGCCCACGTATATATAAAAATAAGTTTTATTGGGGACAAAGTCAGTGGAGCAAAGAATACAGTGCTGGGCACAATGGCGCACGCTCTGGAGGCAAAGGGGCTCCCTTTTATTATATAAACCGTTACATATTCATCTACCCTAACACAGATGCATCACTACTCTAAGGATAGGGAGGGAATATTACAATTAGTTCCGATAAATTATTAACATATCCCCCCCACCCCAAATTCCTCCTGTCCCTGTCGCGCTTGCGCAGTGCTCCCTGGTGGTCGTGGGCAGGGGTCTGCAGATGGAGGCTCGTAGTCTTCTTCACGGTGTTCGCTAGCTGACCCTTTCTTCTGCACAAACTCAGTCCTGTGGTCACCTACACCTTGTCCTTCAGGTCTGGGCCAATTTGCAGCTCCTTTGTCTTTCTGGCTCAGTGGTTCAGTTCCTCTCTTATCTCAGGGACAAGGGATACCAGGGATGGACCATCCTGTTCTTTCTCAATCCATTGCAAAGGAGTCACCGCCCTGTGATACGGACCATCTGGTGAGCATCCCAAGAGGGGGGGGCTGTTGGGTTGGTGTTTCCTCAGATCAATTCCCCCCCTTCTCTTTTCCCAGTAGTAGATTCTTTTCATAAAATTTGAGCTTTAGTCTAACTCCATAAACGTAATAGTTCAATTACTTATAGCTGGAGCAAAATTCTACTGTTACTTCTCACAGTACTTACGTACTCGTAAGCGTAAAAAAAAAGTAGTGCCCTGACATCAATTCCCAGGCTTCTCACGCGCGTCAAGGCCGCCGGCCTGCGACGGTTCCTAGCGGCGGCTCCCACCGCCGCCACCGGGTTCCTAGCGGGGGCTTCCCCGGCCGCCACCGCCGCAGTCCCGGCGCGGCGGCCCGCGGGTGCCCCCCTCTCCGGCCGAGCCGCGCTCCCCGGGCGGCTCCCGGCCGGTCCCCGACGGCGAAGGGCCGGGGAGGCCGGGCCCGGGCCGCGTGCGGCACCGCCCGGCGCCACCACAGCCCCCTCCGTCCCCATGGCAACACCCTTCCCCTCGGCCGCGGCGCGGAGGCCCGGTGCCATGTTGGGGGCGGTGGCCGCGGCTCCGCCATGTTGGGGGCGGTGGCCGCGGCTCCGCCATGTTGGGGGCGGTGGCCGCGGCTCCGCCATGTTGGGGGCGGTCCCGCTGCCTGGCGGCGGCGGCGCCGCTGCCATGTCGGTGGCTCCCGGTTGCCGGGGCGGCGGCGCGGTGCAGGTGCTGCCGGGGCTCTACGTGGGCGGCGCTGAGTCGTGCTCGTCCCCGGAGTCGCTGGCGGCGCTGGGGGTGGTGGCGGTGCTGACGGTGGACGCGGAGGAGCCGCCGGCGGTGCCGGGGCTGCGGGCCATGCACGTCCGGGCGCGGGACGAGCCCGGCGCCGACCTGCTGAGCCGCCTGGATGACTGCGCTGCCTTCATCGGCGCCGCGCGGGCGGGCGGCGGCGCCGCCCTCGTCCGCTGGTGAGGGCCGGGGCGGCGGGAGCGGGCGACCACCTTGCCCCCCCCCGGGCCGCGCTCCTCACGGCCGGCCTGTCCCGTCCCGTCCTTGCAGCCATGCCGGGGTGAGCCGCAGCGTGGCCGTGGTGACCGCCTACCTCATGAAGACAGAGGGACTCGGCTGGGAGGAGGCCTACGCCGCCATCAGGGCCACCAAATCCGACGCTGAGTGGGTCCCCCGCCCGCCGTCCCCCGCTCCCCGCCCGCCCGGCGCTCCCTCACCCCACCTCTCTTCTCACCCCCGCCGCAGGGTGAACCCGGGTTTCCAGGAGCAGCTGAAGCTCTACGAGGCCATGGGCTGCGCCGTGGACAGCAGCAGCGCCCTGTACAGGCGGTACCGGCTGCAGATGCTGACGGAGAGGTGCCCCGGTGAGTGGCGGGGGGGGCGGCGGGGCTGCCGGCCCGGGCTGCGGGGCCGAGCTGGGCCCTGGGGGGCATCGGCCCTGAGCCGGGACGGGGGCTTGGAGGGAGGCGGGGGGGCAGCCTCACAAGGAGGGTGGGGCCGGTCTGTCCTGAAGTGAACACAGAAAAGCCACCTCGGAGGTGGTTGGCTTCGAGTACTGCCCTCAAAGCAGCCGAGCCTTGAGTTGGCTGGGCAAACATTCACACTGTACGGGCCCTAATGAATTCCAGCTCGTCGGGGGGGGGGGGGGGGGGGAAGCGTGTTTGAGAGATGCCTGAGAAATAAGATCCATAAGGAACTGTTGTCTTTAGTAAAATGCAGAAATGGTAAAGGTCAATTTGATTTGTTTCCTGATTTTTATGTACTTGCCTAAGCAAACTTAACATCCTCCTAAAAGAAAGCAACAAAATGAAAAATAAAAGTAAATGCAAAACTGATATAAAGTTGAAATCAGGGTATGAAGTAGACTTTCATACTTTAATTTGCCAAATAGTGACTCTAGTAGATATGTGTGCATATGTCTAATTTTATAATAAAATAATAATCTGTAGCTTTTTTGCAAGAACCTAGTGTTTCATATTCAGCATGACAATGCTCTCTTCCTTTATCTCTCATTCTCCTTAGCAGATCCCATTCATAAGCTGACTTTCTGTATCATGTGCATTAAAAGATCGGCGGAACTATTCTAACTCCTCCTCTGCATTTACTTTCTGTTTAAATAAGAACCTAAAGCCAAGCGCAACTATTTCACTATTGTTAAGGCCAAAGTCTAGATCCCAGTTTTTGCATTTAAACAAATCCCAGTCTTCGGTGTGGTGGGATGGGGCTCTTTCAGTTTTAGCTTATCTAATGGAATTGGTGAGTGTACAAATGAATGGAAAGAAGGTGGATTCTGCATGCTGGGACTGGGGCAGAGGCACGGGTGTTGTCTTGTCCCATGGATATGTAGCATTGATCTGATATGCATTGATCTGATTGACAACTCAGTACTGACCCCTCTGTAGAACTTCAAGACTTGCCCCAAGAAGTCTTTGCTATTGATCCAACCAATATATGTCAAGCTCCAAACACAGAGGTTATCTACAGATGCAGGAAATGCAGGTACTGAACCTTCTATATTTCTTCATAAAATGTCACTTTGAAATTGGCTGAAGAGAAAAATAGCCCACATAAGTAAATGGGCATGTCATTATTGTCAGGACAGGGATGAGCTCTTGCCCAAGTTTCCGTACCTTGCGTGCCACAAAAAATCAGACAAATCAAAGTATCTTACAAAATATATACCTTTTTGTTCTTTGGAGTTTTACAGCATTTGTGCTGCCTAACCTGCCACGTGCTAAAGGCAGGTGTAATTCCACTTGGCTCTGTGAAGTTGCTTGCTCTTGAAAACATAACTTCTAGTTTGTTTTTGACAATTGGTTTCTCCAAAAGAAAGTCCTGGTAGATTTGGGGGTTTACTGCATTTTACCTACCTTTTATGGATTGCTTAAAGTGAAATTGAGTAACTCTGCTATTTCCCAAGTGTAGGTTTCTTCAGATATATGAATGTGGATTTAAATGCTTAATAGGCAGGAATTGTTTAAAAATAGATCTACGTAAAAGAAAGCATACGGCTGTGGGGCAGAGCTAGACAAATCACTAGATTTGTTAAGAAGCAACCCTGAACAGAGTTAGGGCCAGCTAACCTTCTAGACTAAACAAGCAAACAAATAAATAAAATAGGATCCGTAATCCTGATTAATTATTTACTGTCAAGAGGTCCATGTCCCTGTTTTCTATTGTCTGTAGGTTTCCCCAGTAAAAAACCCCACTGTTTCACTTCTTTTCTCCCCCTGCGTGGCGGAGGGCAGGCGTGCTCTGTTCCGCAGTTCCAGTATTTTGTCCCACCTGGAAGGAAGCGGGCCGGCAGCCTTTGCCCACAAGAGGATGACAGACTCTGCTCAGCTTTGTGGCGATAGCCGGGAAAAGTGCACCTCTTACTTCACCGAGCCCGTGCAGTGGATGGAGCCAGCATTGCTCGGCGTAATGGAAGGACAGGTGAAGGGGAGAGCACATGCTTTACTTTTTGGATGCTTTTTTTTTTTTTTTTTTTTGGCAAAGGCAGAACAAACTGTTTCTGTTCCCTGATGCAAAAGCCCCCACACAAGAACCTAGGTCTCTCAGCGTTTCTAGCCTGAATTTTGCAGCTTATGAACAAATTCTTAAATACCCTTTTGTAAGGAAAGGAACTGGTGATCTTCTTGGACTGAGAATGTTAGCCAGGCTGTTGGGAGGTGTTTATTGGCTGTTTGGTTTTAGTAGGAGAAAAGAGGTTGTGCGACTTAGAAAAGTTGTGGTCTCAGGCTGACCGAGGCTTTCTGGTGACTGGCAAAACTGTCCTGGAACCGCACTGGGTCCAAGCAGCTGCATTTCCACTCCCTCTCCTCTGCCAGCACAGCTGCCTGCTAGACCTCTGGGATAAACAGCCATGCCAATTTAGCTTTTTTGCCCGTTTTTCAGCCCTTTTACATTCTGTAAAGCATTACAAGGGAAGGAGCTGGCTTAGTGCCAGTTGCCACAACTCAACATACCCTAGAAGTACCTTATAAAATAGGCCCACACCTGCGTGCACCTTTGAGCGGGTCACATGTTTTTCTTGCAGCTTCTGTGTCCCAAATGCACATCGAAGCTGGGCTCCTTCAGCTGGCGGGGTGAGCAGTGTTCCTGTGGCCGCTGGGTGACGCCGGCCTTCCAGATCCACAAAAGCCGAGTGGATGAAGCGAGGACACTGCCAGTCAGTAACTTCCAAACTGCCAAAACCTGAATCTGTAGCTTCCCTTGATGGATTTCTTAACCTCCAGAGAACTGCTGGCCAGGCTGTGGCTGCCAGGGGCGAGCTTGTGACTTCCACCCCTTTGTAATGCAGTGGAATTACTTGAACATCTGCTCTATTCAAGCTTCCTGTATTGCTAATATATATATAAAATAGCAAAACACTCCCTTCAAAGATGTGTTACACAGTGGTAAATACATACAAAAATGCCTGAACGTGATGTTTTTAGTATATTCTCACTTCATCTGTTGCTATTTACAGAAGGTATCAAGTCCTTACTTACAAGGAATGCAAATATGTTACTTCCAGGCCGTGGCCAGTAGCTCTGCTTATCTTCTGATTCAGAAGTTTCAATCAGTTTGTCTGAAACACACAGCTGAGATTTTAGCATGTATATTCCACAACATGAGGTACACGGCAGGGAAGTACTTTAAGGCTTAGCAAAGTGCCGTACAATGGTACAATTACAATTGTTTTAGCATGCATAACAGCGACAAGCAGTGAAATGCAAGTTTACAGTTACAGTTTTATTGTAATAAAAGTAGTCCTAAAAATATCTACATTATAACTCTCTCCTGTAATGGCTGAGGAGATGATGGATGCTGTACTGGACCAGGAGAGCTAAAGTAAAGTGTCCCTGCCAAATTCTTGCTTACAGGTTTAAAGAAATCCCTCAGATGATGAAGTAGGATTTTAAGCAAGCTGTGAGCTTTCCCGATGGCATGCTGTGTGCACCACTGTGGCACTGATTTGGTTTGACATAAAACAGGACAGGCAAGACCTATTTTAAATCAATTTTATTTTCATTGACTTCAACAATTTTTAATTTTTTTTTATTTTATTTTTTTACTTTTTTTTTTTTTTTTAAACACAATTTCCAGCAACATACATTATGAAATATACAAGATAAAGTAGGTGGTGGGGTTCTGCCCATCTTTTAATTCCTCCCAGAGCTGTGGAGGGAAGACTTGCAGGACACAGTGAACATCAGAATCTCAACACCGAAAACAGACACAAAACAAAAAAAGACAAAAATATATATGAAACTGTTTGAACTGGTCACACTTCAGGGCCAGGTACAGCACAATAAATATTAGAACTGTATTATCTTAGACATCTTCTGTAAAGTTTATAACATCCTCTATTTAAAGAGATAAGAACATCTTGTTTCTAGCATGAAATGCTACATAGTACGGTGGTGAAGGGTACGAACAATAAAGAATCCAGCAAGGGCTTAGATGGTGACTACTCATTCACACACGCTCATTGGTAAAATAAGCAGCATACACCAGAAGTTTAGTGAGCTGTAAACTTAACCATTCACTACCAGAATATCAGCTGGAGGAGTAGCTCCTTTTGGGAGAACCAGAAATAGTCAATCCCTTCCAATTTCTCCCTGGCAAACAGCGAGTTGATACCGCAATGGAAGTGGCAGCGTTTGGTCCACAGCACAAGATCCCTTTGCATCACGACTACTCAAAGCTGGCAGCCAGTGGAAGTATTTCAGTGCAGAATTGACACTTACATGGCCACGCCGCTGCCAGAGCGGCGCTGACAACTGTAACAAAGCAGCAGAGGTCAGTTGGAATGCAGCTGGGTGCAGAGTGCGGCACAACCACGCGGCACTGGATGCCACCTGACAAGCAAGAGGGAGACTGGAGGGGATGCCAGCACTTCTCTCTCACTCCGCAGCAACGGTCTGAGTGCTGAGCTCTCAGAGTTTGACAGAAAGGCTGCTCTCTGCTCATTCCTCCCCTCAGACTAGTTTTGCCAATCGGGAAGCCCAATCACAGTAGTTTTGGCTGCTTGACAGAGCGTGCTTCCAGAGCAGGGAGCAGAAGACCAGAGTCACTGGTTTCTCTTGCATCAGAGTCAATGAGGCAGGAGTAAATACATTTTGTACTTGTGAACCTTCCCCCTGTTCATCCCCCGCCCCCAGTTTAGCATCATACATTCCTCCTACATGAGAACTGGGGACCTTCTGTGCTGCTGCCAAACAGACCACGTGAGCACAGGTGGAGGAGGAAGGCTAAGCACATGCTTTCCTTTCCTTAGCATGCCCCTGACCTGGGCATTGCACGGAGAGGCAACTGCACTGGCAGACAGAGCACCACTGAGGGAGGACTGTGTTCCCGGTCTGCACGCCTGGCATCGCTGTAACTTGCTCTCCATATCCTGCAGCACACAGCAGCAGTCACAGGCTTCACAAACTAAAGCAGCTGAGGGTCATGAAATCTTATGGGGTGAGTGGGAGGGTAGAAGGTAGAATTCTGCTGGAAGCTGAGCACCTATGGCTTTGATTTTAGCTGATGCTGAATCCAACAGTCCTATCAGTATAAGTAGGAAAATAAAATTCTACTTCTCCAGTGTACAAAAGCACACTGGCTGCTTGTACGTGCTCATAGTCTAGTTAGTCCCTTGGAGAGATCCAGAACTACCACATTTCAATACCAACAGACTCAGCTGAGGGTTGCAGAAAGGACAAAGTAGTGAAGAATTTTTGGTTGTATCAACGTGTCATCAGAATACAGTCAAAAATGCTGTTCGAGAATAGGGAGTTTATGTCATGATAGTCACTTAGCAAAGTGTCAGATGTAAATGCCCTTACCATTGCCAGCTCCAAACGTACCGTGTGACTGCATTGAGATCTACACCTCCTCTGCTGGTACAGCTCAGCTGGTTACATCCCAAGGTGAAAGACTGGTTACCAAGAGAGCTGGGAGAGGCAAGGTGAAATTTTTCCCACCCTAGAAGTGTACAACAGCATTTCCTCACTCAGCCAGGCCCATTCACACATCACTCACCATTTCAGGCACACAAAGCAATGCCAAACACAAACTAAGAGGAATGTTTTGTAAGGACACTCTCTGAGTATGAACGGGGAAAACATAGGGCTATTTATCAACTCAAGTACTGTTGCATCATTCTTGTAAGGTAGGGAAGCAGAGGAGTTGAGATGAGGAATTGAGAGGACAAACTGGAGTGGTCACAGAGGTTGAGTCTAGTCTTCCAGACTGCGAAATGCATTCTGCATATCCTCAAACAGCTGAGCATAGTCCGCCTTGATTTTTGTTTCACCATCTTTGACAGGATCCTGAAAGACAACACAGCAAATGAATAGATCCATCAGGAAAAGCCTTGGGTACTTAAAACCCTGCTTTGTCAGCGCTGTAATTTCTCAGCCTCAGGATTAACACTTGCTAACTGCAGAGCAGGCATTATAGCTTCACCTCCGCCTCCTGTCTGTCTCAGGAACACCCACAAGGTTTAAACCTCACCCTCTTTCCACATTCAGTGAGCAGGCAGAATGGATACTGGACAGAGAATTTTTTTTTTTTCATGAGCAGTGCTTTATTGAGAAGCAACTGATTTGGAGAGGATTCAAGAATACTGAGGGTCTTAGTTAATGCTGTGTGACTCAAGAGCTGCAGTAATTAATACCAGCTCCTATCCCCAAACCAAACAGAGTAAGGATCTTTGTGACTCAGAAAGGCTCTGCCATACCTCTTGGGGTGCACCCCCTGTAAGTGCAAGAGTTACTTTGCCATCAGTCAGAGGTCTCTGTTCCAATTAAAATCTTACTGTGCAATTATAAGCAAGCTCCAAGACATCTTTGTACAGCTTTGTTTTCTCAGAATACTTTTCATGAAAGACAAGGACAAAAAAAAAAAATAAAATCTAGCAATCAGCTTTGCTCTGAGGCTGCAAGGCCTTTCCTGCAAGAAGCATTAACTGCCAGGCTGTGAAGTCTGCTCAATGTCTTCACTATTCCCCTCTCAGCTCTGCGTTCCTCTGGGTCAGTGCAGGTTGTGGGAAGCAGAGGACTTCCATGTGTGGATGCACTACTTCTTCATTGTCTCTCCAAAGCACGCAGACCACAGGATGCAGGACATTTAAATTTTCACACCTTTTAGACTGTTACCCAGGAAATCTAATTTTCCTTTCATAATTATTACTGTATTAAGAGGGCTGGCTCAACCTAACATGTATTCACCCCCTAGATTCCCTTTTTCAGTCATGCTGTCCACCAGTCTGCTGCGTGCCAGATGTCTTCTGGTGGCCAGGGTTTGTACAAAGTGTATTATTTCCCCTATCTCTATATAATCACCTCTCAAAGAAGCTCATGTCTCCAAGCGTATCTTACATTCTTGATGCTTTGAGAATATATACCAGGGATCTGCTTACTGCAGAAACAAGCCAGTACCCTGCAGGAACAGAATGCACTGGCATACCAGAACACTTAATTTTAAACATAATTTTATCTTACGGTACTTGTTCTCGAAAGATTTGCAATGTTTATTTATAACAGTTGTAACAGAGTAAGTGTTACACTTCAGAGAATATTTCTTAACTATTTTAACATCAGCCAGCATCACAGGTTACTGTCCTACCCGTGACTGCCACACCAGCATGCTCTGGATGAGTTTTAGGAAAGCTATACCCTAAAAAGATTGCTACTGAAGTTACCCAGGGCAGGTGCTCCAAGCCCCTTGTTTTCTCTTCAGCCCACGCTGAAGTTACTCCTCGCTTCCTCTTCTCCTAATTACCTGCCTTGGGTCCCGAAGCCAAACACAGGGTGCATCACACATTACTGCAGGAGACTAGCATTTCTTTCCTTAAGTTCTGTTTAAAATTGCTCAACCAGCATTTCTATCGTTCACTTTTTAGCGCATTCCTGGATTTAATCTTTAGGCTGCTTTTGCCTGCTAGCAGTCTCCTTAGAACACGTTATAACTTTTTACAGAATTTTATCACAAAACCCTCAAAACAAACAGGAAAGGTGCATGTACTATTACTATGAATATGTGTAACACAAAAGAGGCTACTGAAGGTGAGGTTGCCAAGGCTCTGCAGCCTGCACCACCCGACTAGATTTCTCTACTGACCATTCCTGTGCTCACAAACTAAAACCAGTTCTTCAGTGTATTCAAAATGATTGCAAAAAGTCTCTGTTCATAGACCTTTATCTAAGGCAACTGATGACCACCTTTGGGTAACAGTCTCTCAGAGGCACTGGCAGCTCACAAAAAGCAGTGCTACCACTGTGCCTTACAAACATACCTTGAACTTCATGGAGGTAAGTCTGTAGAGGATTTCACTCATGTTCTCTCGGATGATGGACCACGTGATCTTATTGTCACTCTGGGCTGTGGTTTCTACAGCACGGCGTGCCATGTCATAAAATGCAATCATATTGGAAAGCATTCCCACTGTTTTATAGAAAGGGCAGAACCTGATGGAACAGAAGAGGATCTGTCAGGCATCCTGGAACAGTTAACAGGACTAGCATCTGCTCCTGCCTTCACAACAAGTGTGAATTCTCACCTGAGAGAAAGAGCGCTAGCCTCCTTTACTCCAGGTATTTTTAATACATACTGTCAAAGGAGACACACTGCCTCCAACTGGCCCCACATTTTTCAACGGGCAAACTGTAGCCTAGGATAACCAGCCTGAAGTGAGATTTCTGAAGCGGCACCCAAGCACTGGGCAAAACAGAAGAGAACAGGAACCTCTGCTGTACAAGTCTCACATTTCAATCTGTGCCAAAGCTAACAAGAAAGGGAAAGCACCGGAGCAGCCAATGGAATTCCTCTATCCTGTTTTGTCCATCATGGGAGCAGGCTCTCTCCAAGCATCCTGGGATGACCTGACAGCTCTGCAAGTTTCTTTGCTCACAGGAAAGGGAGCGTTTCTAAGACAAGAGCAATCCACACACAAAAAGCACCATGTGGCACTGCTTTTAACGGTAAGATGACTGCCATGGAAGGTATATCATTATTATTTATACACTACATCATGCTACTTCCTTACTGCATACAAGCATAGCCACCCTAGTAACCTAATCAAAGGTACACACCATTACAGAATGACATACATCTAAAGTTTTAGTGATGAAGCATTCAAGAGCTCCTGATCTACCTGGGCTGGAGAGTGAGATGAAGTACAGGCTGTTAAAATACAATAGCATGGAAAGAAGCAAAGCAGACAGGGATAATAAGCACTGCACTTGGGAAAAGATCCAGTAAATTTTTCTGATGGATCAGACTTACTCAAGAATTATGCAACAGTAACTGAAAGCAGATTCTTGCAGTCCCCCATGCATTGCTAGAATAAACAGGAAGACTTTGGGTGTTGACTGTGAAAATACAGTGGTCCTCCTCTCCTAAAGAGGACATGCTATTGCAGAAATACTGGCTAAATGAACAACAGACGAGGGCCTGAGAAACTCGAAGGGTGTGATTGTATTCAGAAAAGGCCTGCATGCCTTGGGTAAGACAACGTGAATACACTGTTCGATGGCCTCCCCAAGCACAGTTCTTTATCTGTTTATGGTGAGTGAAATTATTTTCTGCACTGATCCATTTCCAAATAAAATAGCTGTGTAAATCCAGACTCCACAGGACCAAGAGGGCACAGCGGCCAGTCAGATCTCACCTGTCATAAGGCGTATAACCGTTCTGTTGCAAGAAGTCGTCTTTTATCAGCTTGGCAACCTCCAAGGTAATTTTATCTGTTTCTGCCAAGGAAGCCTAGAAAAGCAAGGTATGCTGTTAGTTTAGTACTCAAGTCCACGAAGACATGGTATGTCCTGGCCAAGAACTGTTATGTTTCAGTACCTGTTTTCTTTCCACTCTCTTAAGACGGCTTCCAGCAGAATTCTGTCTTTTGGATATTTCTCACTCCCTGCTATAGAACAACCAGTTTAACTGATTGCCAAATTAAGATGGGCCAAGCAGTCAATAAGTGTACTTTAAGTCTATCTGATGACAAGCAATGGAAAGGAAGTTTCCTTTACGATAAAGGAAAAGCCACCAGGCACTGAAAACGCACATGGCTCTGCTATTAAGGTACACTGAAACATCACCTTCCTACATAAAGAGGTAAATTCATTTTTACCTCCCTCAATACTTATGCCCATGGAAGAAAAACTCTATCTCTGCACACTACATTATAAATAATCTTAAGGATTTGATACTAGCCTCCACAGCTACCAACGGGCTTTCCCTGTCTGGCATTTAAGAAAAGTAAAGGAGTTGACAACAGTGCCTGTCATATTCTCCAGGACAGCCACAACCCTGCTGCACGCTGCTGCTGTTGGCACCACACGTCTTCTCTACCTTCACTGTCCTTCTGCTAAAGGGGGCAGACTGAGTTTTAAGTACCCCAGCTTGCTTTCTAGGCATGAAGTTTGGACCTTTTTTTCACAAGGAGACTAACAGGATTCAGAGCTAAAAAGAAAATAATATATCTGATTGTTTTCCACAATCCCCCCTCCCTTTCTAAAGATTTGTTGCAGTTGTTAGCCAAGCCCAGAATGAAAGAAACCGTTAAAGGTAACATCTTTGAGAACAAGATCACCAGTTCCGGTATGTCTATCATGTGAATAATGCCTGGTTACAAGCACTGGCTTATCAATATCCCTTCCACACCCAGGAACTGATTCTACCCTGCTCTGCAAGCTAGTCTTTTAGGACATGGTTTTGTAAACAGAAAACTGCAGAAGGCTCTAAGATCACATTTCATTTTCTTTTAAGACATGTCTAGAGAAGAAAGCTGTGCTAGGCAAGATCTGGTGAAAGGCCTCATCTCGGTTGGACTAGAACATCACTGAAGAGGGAGAGCACCAGGCACAAGCTTCCTCAAAGTAAATACGTGTTACTACACACTACTACCACCCTGTAAATCAGCATAGCTCATCCAATTATCACGGGATTGAATTACTGTCAAGTATGTGCTAGGCACCTGTCAGTTATCATATTTACAGTGCTAAGCTGAAACACAGAATTTTCACTGGGCCCATTTTGAGAGCGCTCAAGGGAAATTTTCCTGTCCAAGTTCAGCTTCCTCTCCAAAACAGTGAGGTGAATGAAGGAAATTAAAGAATGCCTGTAAAATGGAGCCATATGTCACGTTGCAAGTTTCCACAGAGAAACTAGGTAATCATCACTTTTTAGAAAAAGCAGACATCACTACTGCTTCTACAGGCCAGCTTGTAAATGCCAACACCTCTGTTCTGTGGCTGGCAACGTGGTTTCTAATAAATTGTAACCCTTCAAATGACTTCAACGGTAAAGTTCAGTTTGCATCATTTCTCTTACAAAGACTACTACCAATGGAGAACTATTGTAAGTTGCAGCAAAGGGCATTTCAGCAGGTCTGGAACAATGAAGCAAGTGAAGTTTCTTAACTTCAGCATTAGATGTCCTACGATCTAATTTACACGAGAAAAGTAGCATCAAGCCAAGGTTTATCAAATCTAGAGAAGTATTTGTCATTACAAGTCAAACAACATGTAACAAAGTTGGAATAAAGCACAACTAAGGGCAGGAGAGTCTGACATCTCCCAGTGACCATTTGCCTCTTCTGCACAATGAAAGACCCATCAAGTCTGGTCCAAGACATGGTTAAAAGCCTGCACTAGCAGTAAGGAAACGGAGGATGGCTCGACACTGTATTTCCTCAGAGCTAGTCACTTACCTTCCCCACAAGCTGCACAATCTCTGCAAGGTCCTCTTCCTCCTGTAGAATCTCTTTGGCCTTTGTCCTGAGAGGGACAAACTCTGTAAAATGCTTGTCATAGTACTCATCCAGGGCACGTGTGTATTTGCTGTAACTGATCAGCCAGTTGACAGAGGGAAAGTGCTTGCGTTGTGCCAGCTTCTTATCCAGGCCCCAGAAAACCTGTCAGAAGCCAGAAAGATCAACCAGTGTTCCAAATCAAAAACTAAACAAAATCATTGCAGGCAATAAAATAAAAAAAACAAAACAAAACAAAACACCCACCAAACAACACAAACCAATACAGAAAACAAGTTTGAGCAAATGAAATGTGGCAAAGGCTATCACAAATGAAAGCCTGATAGAGAAAAAGAAAGCCTTCCTTATGTTAATTTAACTATAGCAGTGACTGTAAAATACACCTCTCAAAAAATGATGCATCTTTTAAGCTGAGTTCAGACTTACTCAACTCCTCATGAGGGAGAAGTCAGCTGTAACAAAGACACTGTCAATACATGAGTCTAACTGGAGACCTATTAGATGTAACTCCTTTTCCCAAAACAGGGATGCAATCAGTTCCAAGCCATTCTTCTCCCAGTCAGCTGTTCTGAGGATTTTTTTGTGGTTTCAATGCACCTATTAAGAGTGGTTCAACTTTCCTCCTCAGCTGAGCGCAGCCACATTTGAAGTGCAGCTCAATGGGCAGCAATCAGGAAGCACATGGATATTCCTGAGGAGTCAGCATTGCAAGGAACTGCGACCTTCGCTCCCTCTTCCAAAGGGATCTCAAACACCTCAGTTCAGAGACCATCTCAGAAGGAACATTTTCCAAAGCACCCTACGAAGCTCCCTGTGTCAAATCAAAGCTCTCATACCCCAGCCACTGGCACAAGTGCACTGAAATACAGTCATTTCAAGTCAAAGAAAGTAGACAGAAGGGCTGCAATGTCATGCGACATACCTGAACAATGCCCAGTGTAGCAGATGTGACAGGATCAGAGAAATCACCACCTGGGGGAGAGACACTGAGCAGGAAGAGATAAGGAAAAGTTATCAGTTGCTTTCACAGTTAAACCGAAGTACCAAACATATGACTGCACAGCTCAGTGATCACAGAAAGCAAAAGCCAACATGATATCGAGTAACAGAGTGCAAGCTTCCACTGCAGAAAGTGTTTGATGAATAACCACACAGGTGTAATATCAAGCATACCATGAAATGTAGTCATATCAGTGACTGATTGACAGTATTAAGGTATGATTTCAGTCACTTTAGCTCCAAGTAGTAGCTTCAGCTTGGATTATCAAACCTACCTCAACTGAAACAGATTCAGCAAGTGTGCTGATAGGACACCATGAAACACAGTGCAATGATTACAGAAAAAAATAACCCATTTTGACATTATTTCAGATATTCACCTATACAGTTACCACTTCATTTGGGCTTGACACCTTAACACATGCCTTCCCAGAGATTAAAAGAAGAAAAAATAATCTTCCAGCCTCAAAATCATGATACATTTATGTATGTACGTGTGGACAGCAGAACCAAGCAGAGCAAAGAATGGACTCTAGGTGTTCCTGCAGATGCTAGAGGCTCTCCTGAAAACACGTGGGTGGAAAAATCACTTTTCCCACAGTATGATATACAAAGCAATATAGCCTAGAAAAATATCTGGGGATCACATGCTTTTCACAGCCCATCACAGCTTGAGACATGCTGCTCAATGTAGTTCTTCTCTAATCGAGAGCATTACAATTTGTTATGCCCCCAAAGTGCACACACTGCTGCTCTAACTGCCCCTTCTTTCCTGCTCTAAGCATGGCTTGACATACTTTTCAGTGACAGCTCTAATGACATTCTTCCCCGAGCCATTTGCTCCGATTGCTGCAAGTGAGTGCGATTCCACACCTCACAGAACCACCTGTCCACATTAATTCTTTCTGCTCCCACGCACAACTTAGCAGCAGTTCTGGGTGAACAGAGACTAAATATCTACCTACTCATTCACGTATTTTTAGTTTTGCAGCTGCACAGAGCAACAAGAGACCTTCTTGTCTGAAAACCAGGTACTTTGACATACAAAAACAGAGGAAGAACTGCAGCCAATGCAAAGCAAAGAAATGCAACACTCACGCTCCAACGATGCTGACGCTGCCTTCCCTCTCAGGATTTCCCAGACACTTCACTCTGCCAGCTCGCTCATAGAAAGAGGCTAGACGGGCACCAAGGTAGGCTGGATAACCACTGTCTGGAAACACCAACACACAGAAATTGAATCAAAGGCTCCGAGTTTAAAGGATGCATTTACAAGGCTAGACTGAGAAAAGACTGCTCACCAGCTGGCATTTCAGCCAGTCGCCCTGAAATTTCTCTGAGGGCCTCAGCCCATCGGGAAGTAGAGTCAGCCATCATACTGACATGGTACCCCATGTCCCGGAAATACTCAGACAAGGTGATTCCTACAACAAAGAAAACAGCGTGCTGCAAAATACAGTTCAGAAAGGAATTCTATGCTTGTATGTTGTCACCAAGATGCAAACAAGCTAAATAATTTAAGTTTACATTTTGATGGAAACACACTGAAAGTTATTCTTTCTTCTCACTAGATCATGTCCTTGCTGTCTTTTTTGTTTGTTTGTTTATTGCTTCTCACTCTCCACATTTTTGCTTACGAACCACTCTGGCTTATCTTACATTCCTTTGTATTTCTTTGAAGAGACACGGCAATGTCACCAATGCTACACTCTGCCTCACTGAAACTATGAACAAAGTCTCTTCTTTCTGTTAAGTATCATCTCCCTCCCTTTCAAACTAGCAGAATACAAGAGTAAGAAAAGGTCATGTTTTATCTTAATCATCTGACAACTTTTCATAAAAAATATTTAAAAAAAAACCCAAAACTCTGAGGCTGAAAAGTAAAGAAGATTAGCCTGCCAACTCAGAGAGTACTATTCCTGCCCACTAAGTGGCTGTACCTGTTAGCAAAAAGCTATTCACAAACAAAAGCTTATGTAATTAACACATGGAGAAAAATTACATGAGAGCTGATGCAGTAAGTTCACATTATAGGCAAAATTTACTCAATATTCAGAAATCAATTATATACAAGCAAGCCAAATTCAATTCAGATACTAGGACTTTGTGCAGCCAAGGCCCAAAAGGGTTGACTTCTGAAACTAAGCAGGCTTCTTGGTACCGACCATCTCAGAAGCTGAAAATACTAGAGCATGATGGCTTGCTCTACACACACAGCCTTTTCCAGCCTCCTGTAAATCTTACCAGTATAGATAGAGGCTTCTCTGGCAGCCACAGGCATGTTGGAGGTATTTGCCACCAGAGCTGTTCTCTTCATGATGCTTTCTACCTTGCCATCAACTTCCATTGTTAACTAAAATACAAGAAAATAGAAGAATTAAAAGGTAACAGTAGCAAGTTTTTTTGTTCTTTTTGTTTGTTTGTTTTTGTGGGGTTGTTTTCTTGTTTTGTTAGTTGTTGTTTGTTTGTTTTTTTTTACTGTATTACTGGCCTTGTATCGGGATACTCTCCTCACAGCTATTCTACCAAGAGCGGGGAGTAGATTCTAGATTTCAGGATACTATGCTGGTTTACCTTCCAGACTGCACACAGCTTAACTCTTCAACATACATGCCCTCAGCCTCATTTCATTTTTTCTGCAACTGGCAAATCCCTATTGAGCCCATTCAAATGACTAATGACAAATCCTCTGCATCAGGTAGTACATTATCCTTACTCAGCTTACTAGGCTGGAAGAGCCAAAAATCTTGGCCTCCTGTCATAAGCCCATTAGGAATCCAAGAGCTTTTTTCCCCACCTACACCCATCTGAGCTTGTCTTTGACAACTGGACATAAAACCACATACATAACCCGGGTGAAGCCTCACAAGCACCTGAGCAACAGAATGTATATCCTGACATTTGTGTAGAATTCTCCTTATGAATATCCTGGGGTTTACCTTTTTCATGGCCACCTCAGCTTGACTTTCTCATCTTGTAATCAATCAACACACTCAAGCCTTTTACCCCTTATTTCTGACTGGAGTTTCAACCTAACAGTTCAGACTGTCTAGCTGCTTTCCCATATTTTACAGAAGACTGTGCCACAACTAATTCATTGACATAAAACAATAGGTAGAAGGATGGGTAAACTTGTTGCTTTTTTTTTATAGCAAGCATTTTCTACTTCCTTCAGAAGGTATTCTACAGTCTAACATGTCAAACTAATATGTGGAAACTGTCTGGATCACCACCCTGCACCCTGTCAATAAAGATGCTGTATTTGCTATGCATGGTTAAGTTAGAAAAGTAAGAGACACTACCAGTGAAAGGTAAGATGCTAATAACTGTGCTAAACTACACCCTAGCATTCATTTTGGCTTTATTTTAAGTAAGTTAGAAGGTACACCCAAAAACTGGTCCAGATGTTTATTGAGGAGCCAATGAAAACATTCTTGAACGAGCCAAAAGGGATTTCTGCTACTACAGCCAGAACTTACAGCAAGATCATTTCAAGTCACTCTACCAATATCATATTTTGTTCAGTTACAATACCAGTGCAACAGCAAGTCCTTCCCAAGAAGGTTTACTCTCCATGAATTGACCATACTAACCTCAGGGAAATCTCTCAGTACTTCAGACATTTCATTTCCTCGTTCTCCACAGCCTACATAGATGATGACATCGCTGTTGGAGTATTTTGAGAGAGACTGTGAGATCACAGTCTTTCCACAACCAAATGCCCCAGGAATCGCTGTCGTACCCCCTTGTACACACCTGAGTAAAGAAAAAGGACTCTGATTTGCAAGGAACTTAAAAACAGCTCCCCCCCATCTTAGATTATATTCTCCAATAAAACTCCCTAATTAAAAGTAGAGCAATGGGAGTCACATTCAGTGAGAAGCACAGAGGTATTTCACTTAACCAAAAGACTGAGGGAACGAGCTATCCTTTTCTTCTACTGCCCTTGAAACACATGAGTTATGCTGGTACAACAGGTACACTTTCAGGCTTGAAACACTGCAATTTTCACAGCTGGAAGCACTGATGGAATGCAAATGCTAAGAAAAGAACAACTGTACTTAGCTGTGCATTCTAAGAATACGCAGCACAGTATTTTAGAACCCAAATTACTGAATTCAGTGTCTTGGAAGTTAGCTGTCTGAATGAGCATTTTGTGTTACGGTTAAGTGCAACAGTTTTCATAAGTGGCAACTGCAAAATCACTGGGAACTATATATCCTCAGGACCATGGAAAGAGATGCTACGTATGTGTTCAAATGGAGATATCAAGCCTAAAAGTTCTAGCCTTTCTGTAGATTTGGCATGATTACGTTACATTTATGCTTATCCATTCTTTTCTAGATTAATGTACTCGAACTATCTTGTTAAACTTATCTTCTTTCTCCCACTAGTAGGTTCTCCTGCCAAATATAGAAATATGAGGAATTCAGCTAAATATTTTTTGAGATTAGGCTGTGATATGTAATGAAATTTTGGGGTCTGTTTGCCCATAAAAAAAAAAAAAAAATTAAGGTCTCCTTCCTCAGCTTCCCCCGCAAAAGAGAGATTTCTTACATAGTAGAGAATAAAAGGTAGTACTTACGGGAAGAGGGCATCCAGGACCCGTTGGCCAGTTAATAAAGGATGATTGGCTGGTAACTTCTCAGTAACAGGACGGACTTGACGTACAGGCCAGACCTGGACCATAGTGAACTTCTCCTTCACACCTTCAAACTCCAGCTCTAAGACAACATCCTAACAGACAGCACCAGACATCTGAAGTAAGCAAACAGCTGCATACCAAACCAGCACACAAAAATCTCAATTACTCTGAACATCTATATTTTTTATACCACCACAGATCTCTCAGAACCTAAACATGCTATCATCCCCTCCTGAGGGAAGGCTCTTTCCCTTATTTACAGTGCTACTGTGGAAAAAAAAAGTACAAGATGAAGCTTCAATGAAAAATGTGCTTTTGAAGAGCAACTGAATTTCACATATTCATAAGATACTATAGATCCCTATAGAGGTCAGCAAACATGGACTACTGAAGTGCCATTGGGAAGCCATATAGATAGAAAGTAAGTGCCCAAGATAATCATGCAATCCCTGCAGGCAGGGTAGCTGAAGCAATCATTAACTCAGACGTCTTGTTGCATGAAACACTTTCCAGTTGGCATAACAGAAAGAGTACATCAACCTTATGAAAGGGACATGGAATATACCAGCAACTGCTGCTTAGGAGACTTACTGAAGCATCATAGTTTCCTGGCGGAGCAATGTATGTAACTGTACCCCTGTTCCGTGGAGGCAGCATGATTTTGTGTTTGATAAGGGAGTTTTCATTTACCACACCATAAATATCTCCACCAGTGATGTGGCTGCCAACCTAAAATCAGAACAGGTCTATTAGTCATAAGTGAGAACTCCAGTTTTAAAAAAGAACCTTGACAAAGAACTCTAGAAAATAACTGTAGCTATTAAGTCTAGCACTGTGATTACTCCCTTTATAAAGGCATTGTTACAGCACAGTAGCCCATTTACATAACTCATTACACTAACTGCACGTTGCAAGCAACACTATCTGGGTTCAGGCGCCTTTCAAGGCTCAGACAGTAGCAATTACTGACTGATACAAGGAATTTCCTCATTTCTTTTATACCTCTTAGCTTAATGTGTTAAGTAAAGAAAGGATAGCAGGGTTGGAAAAAAGATGCTGCCAAGGGCTAAAGCCATGACATTTTCCAGCTCTAAGGCTATCTTCACCATTAGTGAAATCTGTCCTGCAGTCATTCTTGCTCCTGCTAATGTTTAGTGCAATTCCACTAGTTTCTTTACAGTTTTGCAAATACATCAAAACTTTGCAAGTTTCTCATATGCAGCAGCAACACACAAGACGTCACATCAAGTAAGTTATGGTGATCCCCATCCAACCTCATACATCACTACTGTCTCCTAGCACACCTTTTCACAAACTGCAATACTGTGTAAACCGTAGTTCCCAGCCTTGGCACTCTGCTCCGGCCCTAAGCCCTGGGGGTAGAGGAGCAAGAAGACAAACAGGCTTGTCATAACCTACCCGCAGATTTTTGGAAGGCATGAAGTCCCATTTGACATCTCTGCTCAAAGCTGACACGTTGACACCTCTAGGGATATAGATACTTTTGGTCAGAGTGCTGATGTCCGAGAGAGGCCTCTGGATACCATCAAAAATAGCTCCCATAATGCCAGGCCCTAGCTCCACTGACAGGGGTTTGCCAGTGCGGAGTACAGGATCTCCTACAGAGACACCAGCTAAAAATTTGCTGAGGAAAAGTTAATCCAGAGAATGGGAAAGAAACAGGGCAGAAGGCAACACATTCACAACATCATATTCTTAAAACCAGCTTTCTGACTTCAAGGTAATATTTTTATTGCTTATATTACATAGAATCACAGAATAGTTTGGGTTGGAAGGGACCTTAAAGATCATCCAGTTCCAGCCCCCCTGCCCCGGGCAGGGCCCCCTTCCCCCAGCCCAGGGGGCTCCCAGCCCCGTCCAACCTGGCCTTGAACCCTTCCAGGGAGGGGGCAGCCACAGCTGCTCTGGGCACCCTGGGCCAGCGCCTCACCCCCCAAACAGGGAGGAATTTCTTCTTTATATCTGATCTAAATCTACCCTCTTTCAGTTTAAACCCGTTACCTCTCATCCTATCCATACGCTCCCAAATAAATAGTCCCTCCCCACCTTTCCTGTAGCCCCCTTTAAGCACTGGAAGGCTGCCATAAGGTCTCCCTGGAGCCTTCTCTTCTCCAGGCTGAACAACGCAAACTCTCTCAGCCTGGCCTCACATCATCATTTGAGAAGCGTGTAGGTTTTGTACTAAACTCAAGCTGAAAATGTTAAAGCAACAAAGTTTCTAATTCTCCAGAGAAGCAAAGTAGGGGTAAATATTCTGCTTTATGATCATTAGTTCAACTGTATGGATGAGTTTACTGGAGTGCCAGGCAGCAGTACGACAAAATGTCAGACATTTCTTAAATCTTCAGACCTAGAAAACAGGTTTGATTGTCTCAGTCAGGCAATGTTATGAAATATGTAATTTTTTGCCTCAGAATTTGTTAGAGAGCACAACCGTTTTGACCTTGAGCCTTGCACAGTCTTTTTGACAGCATTCTAATTTTTAAAGGCAGTTTGTCCAAGACCAGGATTATTTCCCTCCTCTCTGATATCAGGTTGTCCAGTCTATGCACTAAGCTCCAAAGATGCATCATGGACTTCTCTGCAAAGGGCCAGCAGTTTGGCAAAATGCCCTGCTAGAATACAAAAGAAAACCCCAAAACCATATGCAAGACTCAAGAGATTAAATGCAAGTTGATTTCAGTGAGCCCTACGACAGAGCCTGTGACATCAGGAACCTAAAAGTAAACTATACTCAAACTTGTTCCATGTACTGATGGAAGGCTACTAGATATTACAATGATGATGCCATCTAAACCGATAAATTATTAGGTACAGACTGGAGCTAGTCACCAGTTTACCACCCAGCTCCTCAAAAGAAAGATTTTTTTCCTAGCCTCTATGGATACACAGAGCCAGCTCTTAAGTTTAAAAGAATAAGGAAGAAAAAGAAGGTCTGGCCTCAAGTTTTATGACTTCTTTTCTGACATTCTCTCATGTATGTGTAATAGAAAGTACATTCTAAGTTAACTAGATTTTAGAATACATGTTGCGTCCTAGCTGGACCGAGATTCTGTAAGCACACTGCAGAAGCAAAGATGTAATCTTACATCTGGCAAAATACTCTGCCCAGAAGAAGGCATCTTGCCCACTTCACATTTCCTGTTTAAGTGTTGTACAAGCATAGTTTTTAAAAGCAAAGAAAAAAATGCAAAAAATATGACTGGTAGTTTTACCAGTTATGGCTGACATTTATCAAACAGCTTCTTCAACAAAGCTGTAAGATTAAAGTTAAATTCTAAGGTACACATTATTTGACTTCCTTTAAGATCCCAAAAAAGTCTCCTCGGTACACAGCCAAGCAAGGTAAGATCTACCTCAAAACCATCAGAATTTACAAAAGACATGCTGAACAGATGTCCCGCTGGCACCAGAAGTAGCAAGTGCTTGTCTCAGTCAGCTATGTTTATCGTCTTCACCCTAGTCACCACCCTGTTCAGGACTATGTAGTCTGGCAGGCCCAAAGGGATCAGTGAAAAGGATACACGTTTCTTCATACACCTGGACAGTTGCCAAATCACCTTCCAGTCGGATAATCTCCCCCACCAGTTCGCTGTGGCCTACTCGTACCAGCTCATACATAGCAGCACCGGCCATGTTGCACGCCGTGACCACTGTAAAAGACAGGCACATTGGTGAACATTTTTCCTGTAGGTCAGGAAATTTACTCGTTGGAAGTTGGTAAGAACTGCACAGCATAAGACTGGTATTCACCGAAATCAGAAGTGCGTGCTGCATTTCTCAAAAGGGATAACTTGGTGGCCACAAATCCTGGTATTTCTAGTTTAAAAGTCAAAACAAAAAGTTTCCCTGTACTTTTCACACTGTTCCTTTATGCTCAATAAGAGGACACTATCAGAATATAGTAGTTCAGCCTATTCATGCCATAATTTCTCTTATCTATCTTGACAGATGGCAAATGTTTAGGGTTTGAGACGCAGTGAACTTTGACAAGTTGCATAGGCGCTTCTCCCTTTCAGTTTGCTGGGCCACATTCCCATCTGACTAAAACAAAATATACAAGAAAATAGCAAAAGCTCACCTGATACCCGGTAGTTACATAACGTTGTGGTTGGAGACCAGCATTTTCAAGTCATTCAAACTTGTTTATCTTGGTAACCATGTGGATGCTCACATAACAATTTCCACATACAGATCAAGACAAGGTGCCTGCTAAAGGCAATACATGACCTTGTATCTAGGCTAGCAGATGCTTACAACACTTAAGGAAACACTATTTTGATATTTTATTTTGTAGGGAAGTGATGTATACCTTAAGGCACTTAACTTCCAACAGATGAAGACTGTTTTACAGCATGTTTTGGGCCTGAAACCTCATACTGTTTTGAGTTAGATTTCAGCAGGTCATAACATGAGGCCTAGCTGCTTTAGGACAAAATTTATTATGTCTTTTATATTATAATATCAATCTTGCACACCGGGTTCATGTATTTACAAAAAAATACATTTTCCACTTCTTACGAAAGTTGTATCAGTTTAAAACTGTTTTTAAGTATCACTTCTGCAGTTAAGGAATTGGCAGTTAAAGAACTGGTATTTATTTAGGTAGACACAACCCAAGGGAGTTTCATATTCATTAAATAAGTTGTATTTACAAACATACATGCTATTCTTCTGCTCTCACATCCTTTCCTTCACCTCTTGAAGGGAATGCAGGAGGGAGCAGAAAAGCCAGTAGAGTCTGCACATACTCAAAAGCTGTTACCAGAGTCTAAAGAAACTATTTGAGCTGATAAAGGAGGAGGAAGAGTCCCCCTTCTCCTGGTTGAACTACCACCACACTCTGACACTTTCCCTGACCCTTGCAGCTCCTTGCTGAGCTCCTCCAGCCCACGGTGCAGTAACAGAACACAGTTTGACACTGGCAAGGGACTGAGTATTCCAGAAAGCACAGGGTTTTGACCCTGCATTTCAGTGAGGATGGACTGTGCATCTCACACCCTTTTAGAGAAGCTTAACACACTGGGCTGGCAGATTTTGACCAAGTGGCTTTAACTCATCCAGAAAGCTTACTACCGTTTAAAAAATTGTCATTATTATTATTATTCAGCCTGCTTCTGCTCATTACATCTTTAAATAAGATTAATTAGTAATAACATATTGTTAGAACAGTCTGATAAAATATTCAGAAATATGTCAGTGATCCTCCTTAAAAAGCCCGCCACGCAAAAAAAGAAAGAGAAGAAGCCCCACCTAGAGCTCTATTATAATTCTCCACTTCCAAGTGAACAAGATTAACAACACACTAGATGAAGCAGAACCTATGATTTCCTTTACAAAATAATACCTACCAGGTCCTGAGACTCCATGGACATAGCCAACAAAAGCCTCTCTGTCCTCGTCATGGATTTTGGGTAGCTTGGAGAAGTCCATTTTGCCTGTTCAACTGTACAGAAGGAAAAATAAATAAATAAATAAATAAATCAGTCCTGAAAAATACATACATGTAGTAAGTTCCTCCTCTTCCTCTCCTCTGCTCTCTCCTTGTTTCCAGTTAGAAAGAATTCTGAACTTGCGTTGCCTGAAGCACCTTAACCACACCGATTTTAAAGCTATAAAAAGTCAGAAAGTAACTCATTTAAACAAAGAGCAGAGCTAACATCCCTATTGCAGAAACACAGGGGTGGAACATCACTCCATGATATGCTCCACAAAACACTGCTGAGTGAAACAATTACACTCCAAAATGCCGCAACACGGCTGGACTGTTCTCAAGCCTAATAACAGCATATTTAAACAACGGATAATCTATTCTGTCTTCCACATCTCATCTAGTCTCCTTCAAAATATGGAGTTTTCCATGATTCTGAGTCAGCAAGAAAGTTCTGGAGATGCTTTACTGCCACCAGTCTCTAAAAAGCAATACTACAAGTATTAGTTGTGAAAAACCCGTTTTTGCTATCTTAAGCTGCTGAATGAGCGTTCAAAGGAAGAAACATGCATTTTCACAAGCACCAGCACACAAGCATGCAAATCCTCTCTATATGCCTCACAGCCACAATCTTTGCTATCAATGAAACCTGTGGAGCATTATAGAAGGACTGTGCTGAATAATCGCCAAAACCCCCAACTTTGAACAGTTAAACAGACTGACATCTCTTGCCAGTAACTGTTTAAAGAATCTAAACAACTGGCACAGGAAAAGCTGTTTTAGAAACAGATCTCCTCCATCCACATTTGTTCTGTATTCAACAGTTGTGCTGTCCTGCTCCTGGTGCAGATAAGAGTATTTCATGTTTTTGCTTTGTCAGCCCTTATCATGCTTTGCATTACCTTGGAAACAGACTAGCGTCAGAGAACTGCAAGGCAGCTCACTACCCATTTCTACAGCATTAACAGACACACTTATGACACAGTGCTGGTGCAAAGTGAGGTATGGCAGCCCTGGCACACAATGCTCTCTGCTTATCAACAGGCCCTGCCCAGCAAAAGCCCACGGACTGGTGACATGAACTGCAGGAGGCTTCTGTAGACACTCACAGTCTTTGCAAGAAGCTTAAGCTAAGACGGCATCTTCTGCAAGGCAGCAAACACAGAGGCAGAGTCAGGCTTGAAAGCCTGCCCCATGTACAACATGGAAGATGACAGCTACATTGCCACCCCTTCCACCTTCATTAAAGGATGCTTTCTTGCCTATTCTTCAGGAGCAGTAGGTAGCTGACCATTCTTAAAATCTTATGACTGTTTTCCAGCTTTTTAATACTATACTGCAAGTCCTCTGCCCCGCAGCCTCCATGCTAATCTAAACATTTTAAATCGGTGGCTCTGCTCTGTAAGAAAAGGATCTCCAACGATTCCAAACTCCTATTCATCCTGAAGGAACAGCTTCTGCCAGGCTCCATGGCTCACCGGAGTAGATTGTGTGACATGGTTACCATTGATTCATTTCACAACAGCCACCCCAACAGTTGATCATGACTCAGTCACCCTCAGCCTGGAGTGGAACTGCTAACTGCTCTCAGGCTCAAAGTCTAAGTCAGATAGCCGTCAGATCCCTCTACTCTCCGTAATGATAGTTTAAGCTGCCTGTTGCTTAGGCCCAAATGACAGTTTTAATTTCACTGTTTATTTCTCAAAAGTCTCCTCTGACAAATGGCAGAGGGGAGGTCCCCACAAAGCGATCTGCAGTTCCTAAGCAGCTGGTAAGAGCTGGTTCTGATCAGACTAATGTAACTACCTCATCTTTTTTGGTTTTAACAACAAAAAACATTGCAAAATTCAAGTACAATTACTGTTCATACAGAAAAAAAAAGCAGCTGGTCTTATAAATCTACCCAAAACATTTACTTCAACATAGCATGATGTGAAACAATCTCTAGAGTCCTACTACAAAGATCTTCTACAGAAGCACAATAAAGAGTGAGCTAAACCAAATTCTCATAACTGAATTAGTGATGCTTTTGGCAATTAGACAGTACAGGGTCCCATAAGAAAGAGTCAATTCACAAGGGCAAGGAAAAGCAGGAAGAACACTGGCCAGTTTCAGTTGAACTTTTTTTCATATCTAGAACATGCAGGTCAGCTGACAGCCATTTAAAGTGACTGCATATCTTTTAGGGACAAAAAGAACCTCAGAACAGTCATTCTGCAGTTAAAATAGTATCCTGACACCCAGTACCTGCCTCTCTTGTTCCTCTCACTGCTCTGCTCCTTCTCCCTTCCTACAGCCACCTTCCCAAATTACTGGCCAAGTCAAATAAAAGACAATGGGATTCCTCCGCTAGACCACCTGGCGAGACACCAATAAACCCTGTCTTTGTTCTGATCTTTAGCATCTGCACTAACTGCTTTTAAACACATACCTATCAACTATTCCAAGCGTAAAAGACGCAGTGAATTCTTCCTCATCTTGCTTTGTTCCATCTTCTATATAACTCCAAACAAAGTACACAGTCTAAAAAGACAGTGCTCACCCAGCCAAGCTGACCTCTTTTTTAAGGGACTACACATCTTTTAACACTGAATACAAATTAAGAAAAAAAAAAAAAAAGGCTATTCTTTATCTCTGCACAGCTTTCTTGTGCTTGTATATTAGCACTACAGATTTTCATTTTATACGGAAAAGTCCTTGAGGGCAGCAATGTTGCCTTACCTACCTACACTGTTAAATGTTTTCATTGTTGGTTAGTACAAAGATAAAGTGAAATTCCCTGAAGCACATCGGGATTTAATAAACATAACATCATGTGTGTGCAGGCAGCATGTACTTACCCCAGAAGCCATGGTAGCTAGCCATTTTAGAAATCTACTGAGCTCCTACAGCTTTTCAGAGGCCTATTGCCAACACAGGATATTAGGCACTATATGCAATCCACTCCTACAAAGTCTGCTAGCATACCTACCCAGGATATTTGCTTAATTTTAATTCCCTTATGAACAAAGATACACCTTGAATCCTTTACAGCTTATATACAGGAATCTTCCTAGTCTTAAAACAGTTTACCAATTGATTTTAAACATGCTTTTAAGCTCTGACATTGTCATATTCTGCCTAACAGTGCCAGAAATCAAAATATTACTTGCTGCAGAACCATCTCTGGCTGAAATGTGATTTATTAAAGTAATTTTATAGTCATAATTAAACAAGAAAGGGCCAATGACCTGAGTTTTCTATCTTGGTTTCTCCCCAGCACAGCTATTTGGCTATATAGTAACCCCAAAAATGTAAGTGGCCTGCTCTCAATGCTAGAGAAACCTGTTTTCTATTACAGTTCCTTGTTTTTGCTTCAAACATTTGATCAGACCCAGAATCTACACGATGAACTGCCCTACCACAAAGATCGCTTCAAAATTAAGACTCCAGGGAGATTTTTAGAAGGAGCCTTCCTGCAGCAAGGAATAAAATCCATGACTATTTTATCATATAAACACAGATTCTTACCTTATTTTGCAGAAACAGGGAGCAACAAAAATCCACAGGCCCAATGAAGCAAAGCCAGAATTCAGCAGTTAAGCCCCACCACTTACGAAATAATTGTCCTTCTAGTGCCCCTACACAGAGGGATGAGAAAGCCTGCTGCAGAGGGGAAAGAAATTTCTGACACACAGCAGAGGCATAACCACCTGACTTGATGAGTCATCAGTCTCTCTCTCTCCCACCAGCACTGAGGAATGCCGCAATAGCAAACCAAGCTTCCTAGAGCCCAGCTGAACTCCCATCTGTGTCCTCCTTACTGCACAGGACCAAGCAGAAGAAATTAAAGAAGCATTCAGCATTCACATTAAGCAAAACCAAAGTCAATAATCCCAGTGTCCCAAGTGGTACATCCTACTACATAAAGATCCTTGAAAGAGAGATGCATGCTTTCTGCTGGAAGCCGTTTACCTACCAGTTCTCCAGTGTAATATATCCATGTCAGTGCATGCTCTGTTCTGGAAGAGCTTAACAGAACAACCGTTTAACAAGACTGCACAGGGAGGCGCTGAAGACACCACAATACTAATTGCTTGAGTATGCAGAACAGATACTGATTCTTGTCAAAATAAAGAGTCTTGTGGGGCTTTGCTAATCTAAGAACCCCTTCCCCTAGCTAGCAGAAGCACTGATGCAACTGCACAACATCCAACACCTTAGCAAAGCAGACTGATGTGCCACTTGAGTGACAGCTGCTGGAATCTGTTTTCAAAGATCGACAGGTACTGACATTGTCCTGTATGTTGTACAGAAGACAAGCAGCTATGCAGTCTCTCCCCTAAGAAGCTGCATGAGTTAAAAAGTTCCCTGCAGTCTTCACAACTTCTCATGACTGTCTTTGCAAGTTCTAGGATTAGCAACACATCAAATTGGCACAAAAGCTTAAATACACTAACCAAAATTGTAGTAAGTAGCACAAGACTGGCAATGTGGAAGCAGCGGCATCATATTAATAAGTCATCAGTGCTAGAATTCATCCTGCTAGAGTCACTTTGAACTAAGGTCATAGATTTTACTGTATCTGAAGCAGACTATTGTGTTTTGACTTCCTAGGGTAGAAAAACAGAGTCAGAATATAAGCCTTAACATTCAATTTCCAGGAAATCTTAATAGGCATATACAGAAACACAGAGCCAAATAAAGTATTCCAAATAAAATCCCTCCTCCTCTTAGTAAAAACCTAGACGTTACAGAATTGTAAAGACAACCCACACTGGACAATCAGCTTAGCATTGCATTTAAGTCATGCTTTAGAATCAAGACTGCCAACATTTACTGTGTTCACCTGAACAGCCTTTGGTACAGTGCATAAATCCCAGTGTCGAGCTGTATGAGGTTGTGCTGCAAGGGCCTCATAAATAATAGTATAATCACTGCCATGAATTTCCTGTAACTTGGACAGTTTATACTTCCCCTTCCAACAGATGATATTTTTAAGAGGAAGTATGAAAAAAAATACAGTGCCTAAGTTACTAGACAAATGCAAAACCTCGGCAGCATTTCTGCATCTAGAATTCAGAATATTGTCCCAGAAGAAACAGCATGCCCAGAACTCTAACACGGGTCACTTGGAAAGGAAGCCAACTAGCATTCTCAGGAAATCTGCTCCTTCATACTATGCAGAGTCACAATTTTACTATAACACAGCAGAGAAAATCACTCCAGATTTCTCAGTCACCAAACAACAGAATTGCTGAGGTTGGAAGGCACTTCTGGAGATCATCTAGTTCCAACACCCGGCTCAAAGAGAGCTAGAGCAGGCTGTTCTGGGCCACGTCCAGCTGAGCTCTGACTACCGCCAATGATGAAGACTCCCCAGCTCTCTGGGCAACCTTCACAGTAAAAAGTGTTATCTTATGTTTAAAGGGAATTCTCTGTATTTCAGTTTGTGCCCACTGCTTCTTATTACTTCAGCAGATACTGCTGAGAAGAGTCTGGCTCCATCCTCTTTGCTCCCCCCTCTCATTAGGTACTTACATACTCTACAGTAAGATTCTCAGAGCCTTAGCTCTTCCAAAGGCTACGTAATCCCAGCTCCCTCACCCTCTCCTCATATCTCCAACCCCTTAACAGTCTTTGTGGCCCTTTTCTGAACACAGTCCATTAAGCCATGTCTTCCTTCTACTGGAGAACCCAGAACCAGACACAGCACTCTAGATGTGGTTCTCCAGAGCTTAATCGAGGGGAAAAACCACCTTCCTGAACCTGCTGGCAGCATTCTTCCTGACACAGCCCAGGACAGTGCTGGCCACCTTTGCCACGAGGGCACATTGCCAGCTCATGTTCAACTTGGTGTCCACCAGCACCTCTACTGCTTTTCAGCAAAGTCACTTTTCAGCCAGTCAGTCCTCAGCCTGTAGCAGGGCATGTGGTTATTCCTCCCCAGGTGCAGGACTCTGCATTTCCCTTGGTCAAACTTCATGAGATTCAGAGCAGCCTATCTTTCCAGTCTGTTGAGGTCTGTCTGTACAGCAGCACAGCCCTCTGCTCTACCACACACCTTCCAACTCTGTATCATCTGCACTCTAATGAAACCACTCAGGAGTTTGCCTTTGCTCACAAAGATGCGGCTTAGTCTTCTCTTCACACAGACATCGAGAAGCTAACTGTACCAACCCTCTTGCCATAAGCTCCAAGGTATAAGTATCATTGTTTCTTAAACCAAACAACCTGGACATTCTTCCATATAATTATTCATACAATTACAGTTGCCACAGGGCACTTTGAGGCCACCCCTGCTCTTGATAGGTCAGGAATCTGTTTATGCAATGCTTAGCTACATACCGTGAACCCATCAGCAACCATACAGGACAATTCATCTTTCATACAACTTGTTTCTAATTTACTATAACACCCCGTCCTCTTACATAAGGCTTGCTACTCAGCTCATGAACAGGTAAGTCTAGGTGTATTCAAGAAAAAAAGACAGTAGAGTTATGCTGCCACTGTCAGCACAGCAGACAATGGCTTCAAAGTGAGACTGTGCTACATTGCAATTCATAAAGCCCATCACAAGCTCCTACTACCTTCTTCCTCAAAAATATGGGGACTTACCCGTGGGTATGCCAATACATACAAGCCTGATACTTCAAGCAAGCATCATGCCTTGCACACAAGATAAATATATATAAAATATGTTTATATTTAATACATATAAACAGCATAAGAGACTCTCCCCTACCACAGAGATGGGGTGTGAAGTCTGTTCATGCAAGAAGTACCTCCTCTTGGGAGACTCCTTCAGTTAGCCCAGGACAGGACTAGCAAAAAGTTGTGTTTGAACATGACTGAGAAGTTTGCAGCAGCGATAAAACCAGACAGAAAGGCTGGCAAGGCATTCACTGCATAACTACTTTGACCCACTGAAGATTTGATCAGCTCAGTAGATAACCAGCCTCCTGACTTCAAACACAGTTGTCACACTTTGATTGATAAAGATACTAGTTTTATCAATTAAAATATTCCTATTACTAGAGAAAACTACACTGTTCACGTGAAAAAAAAAAAGTCTTCATCAGCTGACTCGTTATATGCTACAGAGTTTTCCATAGTTGTTTTCTACACCAATTCCTTCCTCTCAGACCAGAAGGCTTCTCCAGAGGAGCTCTAGAGGTGGAAATGGATGAGCCTCCCCTTATTTCTTACTTGTTACACTGTTTCACAAGTTTGCTACTGTGAAAATTTTTACATTTCTTTCAGCCTGCTACATCTTGCCTCTTTGGCTTGATAAGACTTTCACGCAGAAGAAAGGTCTAATGCAGCCGAGATCCAATCAGAATAGTAATACAATAATCATTTCTGTGTCCCACAGTGGCCTTCTTTTCTCATCCTACTCTTGTCATCTAGCTGCTAGGGCTGAAAAGTTCTACAGCCACCTGCTTAGTGCAATGCTCAGTCTCTTCCTCTAGATGAGCAGCATTTTCATTAATCTCACTAACATTGCTGCAAAGCTAAAATCCACCTTTGCTTTTATTAAATAAAAGTCGCTCTACTTCTAGGTGTATTTGGCATCCCTACTGAAAACAGTTCTTGTTGCTCTAACCTTTAAGATGACAAACATCAAAGTGAGATGAACACAAAGCTGTAAGCAATTATAGCAGCAAACTTCACTACAGTTCAGTAGAGTCACTTCTGAATAGTTGAAGACTCTTACCTCCACAGACAAAAGGTGTGCAATTTCATAAAACAACTATTGCTATAGGCACTTAACTTTCAGAGCAGTCTTTAAAATGAGATATTATGGAATCTTCAGTTTATTATGTGAAGGATTTGACAGCTAGTTTGAAGAGCTGAACTAGGAGTAAGTTTGCATGAAAGTCTTTGAGAAAGATCGAATACCCCCAGCAGATAGCAGTACTCTTTTACAGCACTTTGGTATAATGAAACACCTGGCTGGAATCACAACACACATATTGCCATTGGATTCCAGTAAAAGGAAATTAAGTTGGGGTTGACTTTTCCTGTAATGGAAAACTTCATGTTTATATTATAAAGCAAGTTAAGCCAGATTTGGAGATTTTATGTTCAATTACGTGAAGCATTTACAGCTTCTTTAGAACAGCCAGAGCCCCTCCAACATATTAAATTTTAACATTGTTTAAGCTACATATTGTGGTGGTTGTCTGAATATCTACCAGGTGATGCAAATTTATCTCACAATAACAAAACTCCCAAAATTTCAAGGATCTAGAGGAAATTCACATAATAGAATTGTTTTTTTTAGAAGTCCTTACCAATGTTATCTGTGATTAGCCAGAAATACCATTTTAGTTTTTAAATTTTTTTCCTAAGAGCTGCTTTTTAAGTTATTACTTTCATAGTGAGAAACAAAATAGTGATATAACGTAATAATGAGAAGGACCAAATGTTTGTCCCACTAACTGAACTTCTTGGAAGGTGCAGTTTCTTTGTTACAAAAAACAGTCAAGTCATTCTTCAGGAGGTTAAAGGAAACTTGTGTACCTGAAAGCTTTTGTCCAGCTATAATAAACTATTCTAATGAAGGCATAGTTTTGTCCATATAAAGCTAATACCTTTTCCCATAGCCATTCTACCCCTTACCACACCCGACCATCCCAACCGCAACAGGCCTGCTCTTCATGCTTAGGGCACAGAACGCAGAACAGCAACACAGACATTCAGACCACCCATCTTTTACATAGTCTTACAGAATAACAACAAGCCATGCCAGTAAGTGAGCACAGCTTACAGCATCCTAAAGATGGGACACCACACCGGGAAGATTGCATCTTAACAGTGCAGATTTCAGCCTTTTTCTTGGGATGCCAGCTGGCAGGAAGAGTTAGCTGGACGGGCTGGTCAGCTGAAACTCACCTGTGCACCAACATTTCAACTTGGCCATGAGAATCCTTACAACATGAGCACTTTTCAGCTGATTAAGGACAAAGATATGACTTTCACATTACAGAGATGTCGTCTAGGAACACTGCTTCTCTCTTAAGCATTTGCATCTGCAATGGGTCTGTTTTCAGCAGACGTTTTAGTTCATTTAACTTTTCAGCAGTACGAGTCTCAGCTAACTGGGGTAGCAATGGTCTTCAAAATTATTCTTCCCAGGATTAAACAGATGTCAGACAGCTAACGCAGAA